AAATTTGCCAGTATTAACGAGTATTCGCGTTAGTTGCTTTATGCAATTAAGCACCTGTTATTTTATTATTAAGAACAAATGATTTGCAAATGAAAAGAATATCTTCAAATTTTAAATATTTATTTTCTGAAAAGAAACCCATTTATAGAAAGTCAGTGCGTTTGCTGTTCACTGTGTGAGTCAGAAATTTAATTTTTAATCAATGATTATTCTGTTACCAACGAGTTTTATTATGTATTTAGATGCTCGCATCAAAAATCACTGGTAAGTTTATTATTTTGAATGGAAAAGGAAATCCTCTTCTGGAATATTGTGATCAAAATTATGCGTACTATTATATACTATTGGTATAGTTAAGGCAAATAAATGATGTTTTAAAATGTTTTTCTCTATAGCTTAAATCAGGCACTATAACGAATTCTTTCCACTTCCTTCATTTGAGCTTGGAATTTCATTTTAAAATTATTTGCATTTAACTAATTATTTTTTATGTTTTGTTTGAGTATTATTTTTTAATGAAAGTTCTTGGCTGCTTTCCGTTGTGGCTTATGATCCATTATGTAATCCATTATGGCATTATAGCATTGTAAATATTCCATTATGGCACCGTAATTATTAAGCCCTGAAGCAAAGACTGGTTTTAAGGAACGAAAGGTGTCATTCCTTAAAACCTTCAGTTCTCTTCAATTTTTTCCCCTATGAAATCTGATTTATTTAAAAAGGAATCATAATATTCCTTTTCTTATATTTCTTATACGACTGAATAGACTGGCAGTATACGCAAGGTCACAAAATTATTTGGCTACCTTCAAATCAGACAAATTTAAGCGACTGAAAATGCTAAATGCGTTCAATATCAAAAAGAAACACAGCATTTAATATTCTGTATTTGATACTATTTTACACCAAAAATATAAGCTAATTGATTCAAAATAGCAAAAAAACTCTTAAAAAAAAGGGTTAAACTATCGTCACGAAAGTATTAAACCACTTGCCGTAAAGAAGAAAAATAAAATGTTAACTTAAGTTAAATTAATGTTAAACTTAAGTTTAACATTAATATTTTGTTACATTACATCTTGCACATGCAACTGCTTTAAATGTTTAAGTCATTTTTTACCAAATGGGGGGCACTTGCCTATAAGGGCACTGGCCACTCGTAAGGCCAGAAGTGGTGGCCGTTTTGTTGTTGAGGCACTTAACATGCGGTCACCGTTACCTCCTATTGAAGGGACAGACAATTTTTGCTTCCATGCCTTCTCCGGGATTCGAGCCCGGGCTCTTCGGTATGGTAGTCAGGCTCCCATAACCACTATACCGTCTGTGCGGCATGTTTAAGTCATATATTTGATCAAATTTTAGGTAAAATTGCTACCAGTTTTATTACATTTTGCTTGAAGACGCAGTTTCAATTTATATATTTAATTTTTCTAGAAATTTTATTCAAAGAGTTTTTAAAAATTCTTCCTATAAATGTTCAGTGAGCTTTAAATCTGGTGACTGAGATGGAGTTTCAAAACATCTAGGAATATTATTAAGTGCCATTACCGCATATTCGCAGTAGTGTGTTTCGGATCACCGTGTAGTTAGGAAGCGAAATTGTCCTTTAATTTACAGGCACTCTTTTAGAAATTTCATTTTAAAATACATATATGTACATATCGATCACTAATGCTATCGATCACTAATGAATTAAAATATACCCACTTACTCGCTGATACACATCCTCGAATTTTTATTGAATTCTCTTTATAGTTGACAGCTGCGCCAGAACTGAGTTCATTTAAATTCTAATCTGTGAATTCATTTAACTACTTCCCTCTTACATGTGTTAAATTTTGAAATGTTTATAAATCCAGTCTTTTTTTCTCATTACTCCAACTAATACATGGTTTCCTCCGAGCAACAAGTCACTATAACCATTATTTCCCAGTTTTCTATATACAGTTTCAATATTTCAATTCTTATACTGAAACGCAGCGACTTCAGAAATAATTTCCATGATGGTTTAGTAGGATTTGCTGTGGCCTAATTCACAGTTTTCCCCTCTTCGTGACTACACAGAATTTTTGATCTCTCAATTCTGAGTTTATTTTTTTTAGTTTCTTGCTGATATATTTTCAAGATTCTTTTCAAGATTGCTGAACATGTAATTCCAATCAGTTTAGAAATTTATCTTTGTGATAGATTATTTTTTTCTTTTCAATTTGATAATGACTTATCTTTCGCTGGACGAAACTGCCATGTTTTCAACATTGTGAAAGTCAAAGTACCACTTTTATCAATTTTAAACTACAAGTTACCTCAAATAAATAATGCAGTCACAAACAAAATTAAAGAATGAGTGCTCTGCGACGCAAGTGTAAATGCGGTGTGATTTTTGGCTCTTGTTATAACTATTTATTCAATTCGACATCTGAAATTATCAAGGCGGCCATTATTATTCGTTCAATTTCTATATCTGCTCTCTTTGGTTTAGAAAATATTGATCATAACATGGTTACTCTTGATATTTCAGTTGCGAATTTTCTTTTGTAATAATGCGTTTAAGGTTAAGTTAACATTATCTAAAATTGCAAAAAGCATAGAAGGGTTATAGGGAGGATGCCTTTGGAGGAATTTCTAAGTGTAATTTATCCTCAGCGTTCAGCTCTGTAATCACTCGGCCATGGTTGGACTACTTCTTTTTAAGAAGAATTCTACTTAGAACTCTTGGGCTACCACGTTGTTTTTTTAGGAAAACTTCAAGGTTTTTGTAATTCGAAAAGCTATATGCAGCAAATTGAAATGATTTTCCAAAGTTGTTTTGCATGATCTAAATTATACATAAACTCATACAAGATTATCCTTAATTGTTAAACGACGACAATGTAGTAAATCTCTGACCTGATCGACGTACTGCTGATTCGTTGAAGTGATACATGAAAGCCGAAGCTGTAAAGTCACTGAACACTGGCTAGTAGTTTGACTGGGGCAGCGAACGGGCTGGCTGCGTTGGATATTTCTTTATGTTCCCCATGTGTAACATGAATAGGAGCCAGTTTACTTAGGAATATATCTCAGGCAGATTGAGAGGGAGTTGTTTTGCCTTAATCAGTTAACCTAAACCATTAGTTGATGTGGATCGTCTGAAAAAGCATGGTTCATCTTCAAGCCATTCTCCGCCTTCTTTAAGCGCCTAAAACTTTTGTTTTTCATTAGTTTTCGAAGTGCTCAAAGGCCTATATGCAGGTTTTGAAGCGTTTTTATAGCAGAAATGCCATTGCGAAAACAAATTTTAGTAAATGTTGTTTGCTTAGTAACATTCGTCACATAGGAAAATTAACAAAGCAAAATACTTCATTCATAAAAACAAATTTATGTGCAAAGGATAAAAGGAAATACGGCTTGTTGCAGGATGTCTATGAAATTCATAACAACTTCAGAGAAAATTTTGTACCGATTTCTGCTCGCACTTACTTTAAATGAATCATTCTCTATATTTTTTGATCGAAGTGACTAAAAATATTTACAAATGTAAGGACATTTGCGAAAAATATCCCAGGTTACTAGAATTCGATAGATAAGCTGTAGAGTTCCTCACTTTGTAAAGGCTAAGTTGCTGTTGAACGTGAAGAATCTTAGGAACTCCTAAGCGAATAATTGCTTAAGTTCGTGTGACAGAAACCCAAGAAGGGTACTAACCCTTTATTATTCAAATAAGATTTACTACTCCGTCTTGGAGTGTACAATAAAAGCCGAACTTGGGCTTGAACTTAAGAGGCTAGAAATAAACTAACTAATCAAACTAAAGAGATATAGCCGAAGCTATCAAGAGCCTGAGTACGGCCGAGCGTAATAGCTTGCGAGGGAGTAGCCAAAAAGGCAGACGCGCGCAAATCAAAACTCTGATTCTCTCTACTCAGCAAATGAACTCGCGGTTAATACCGCTTTTTCCTCATATGTTTTGAGTTACGCTACTAGCACCCCCCCCCGCGGGCACAGGTGCTGAATTATAACTTCCTGTTTGTTCGCGGCGAATGGACATACCTCAAAAAGCAGGACTGCAGATCAACCCCCTGGGAGTTTCCGGACCAAGGAACTAATATTTTTTCTCTTCGCAGATAACAAAACGAGTGAAATCTTTGTGTAAGACTTCTCATGATTTTAAGGTGACAGGACGCATCTTTTACTTCTAAACCACGCCAGTGTTTTTGTAGAACAATAGTTTTTTTTAATCTTTAACTACAAAAAGGACGCCTTTTTGCCCTCTGCGTTTAGCGGATTTTATTTAGGGGGGCTTTATCAGATTATTTTATGTTTTAATCAAAAATCTTTAGTATCAAAAATATTTTAAAAGGCAACCTGTCTTCTTTCACCCGACACGGGTTACTGACTTCAATGTATTAGGTGATTCTCTAAAATACATTCTGGCCGGAAGTAGTAAGTTGAAGTTAAGAATTTGACAGGAAAGGAACTTTAACTTAAAATTTATCTGTTAATAAAATTAACATAATCCTTGCAAAGCTATCGTGTTAATGTAATTGCAGGCTCATAAAATTTATGCTTTATTAAATATTATTTAGACTTTTTCTTCTCTAGCCATAGCTCATAAATATAGATTTTTAAACTTAACTAATACCTAATGCTAACAATATAGTTACAGTACATTGTTATATAACATAAACAAATTTTCTTACCATAAAATGAGGGTAGGGATTAGTTTTCTGCCATTTAAAACTGTTATTTCTGAAACGAGTCTAGAAAGTTCCGCTTAAATTTAAATTTTGAAACATCGAAACGTAATCTTTCCATTGTCACTGTTCGGGTTCATAATTTATGTTACAATTTTCAGAATACATGTTCGTTCTGTATATCCATTGTTTCTGGTATGTATTTCACATATTTCATTCTACCTTAAACTTATGGAATAGTGTATATATATATTATGCGTATTAATCATTTGAATTGTATATATTTTTAATTACCTTATTTGGCTTTAACATTTTCTTTTCACTTAGCCCCTTCAACTCCACCTACTATTACTTGTCTTACTGCTGTGAGCTGTACTCGGGTGTCTGTAAGTTGGAGTCCTCCACCACTTGCAAATGGACCTATTTTATCTTATGTGCTGTATATTCGTGAATATCCTGCGGGCAGCACAATGATAAAGGTATGTAATTCATTAATTTTCAGTCTATGATTTCTCGAGGAAAGCGTTGCGAGTCAATCATTAAAATCGCGAAGCAAGGTTAGTAAAATTAACTTCTCTACTATAAGGACCTTCGTCGCGAAAAGTGAAACATAATGGTCGTGCTGACCGGTGATCCTCACAGACTCAGTGGTATCGAGATTAGGGAAATGTTCAGCATGTTGAAGGTGTTTTAACTCATTTTTATGTTTTTCAAAGCAATCCTTGAACAATTTTGAGGAGTGAATTTGTGCATCAGCTTTCTAATACTCAATATGATTTTTTAAATATAAAGTTTGAGCGACAGAGGGGATTTGGTACATGGATAGTCTTGAAAATGGATCAGGTAGGGTTCCTAGAGATTTCCAAATTACTACTGTGCAACTTATTATTAATCCATCTCCATATTTCACTTGGAGCACGAGACAACCCGGATCATATGCTTCTGAATACCTCCCATCCCCCACCCACATCAGCTCTCCCAGAAGTGGGGGAGAGGGTGAAGGGGGACTCATTGCTGAACATTATACATTTTGGATTGCGAAGTGTCTTATAGTCTGTTACCTTAAAATAAGAACTTCAAAGTCATTTTCCGCCGCCCGCCGACTTTCGTTGTAACCATGGGAACGACAGCTGCAATAGATGATATAATTCGAGTCGCCTGATTTTTTTCCCTCCACTCGATTTCTGTTTAACGTGTTTCGTTTCATGAAAAGTAAATGAAGGAAGACTGACTTGAACCGCAGTCTCAGATGAGTTGGTGAAAATAAATGTTCGGTGATGACGACACGTTTCTATTTTAAAAAGCAAACTAGAGTTTTGCTCTTCTGGCAGCTATGAAATTAGCATTTAGTATGGGCGTTGGTTGCTATTGTCTGGGCTATGGCTATTCGAACCTTGTAAAGCTTCCAGTAATCAATCCTTACACAAACTTGAGAGACTAGACGTATGTTAAAGACTTATTATTTGAGTAGTCGCTTTATGTTTTTCTGGATACAATTTATTTTAATACTGTAGCAAATTTCAAGCAACTTTCTCTTATTTCTGATATTATTCAGACTGGATTGAGTTCTTCGTTCTGTTTCCTGCTCATGCAGGTACGAGCCTGGATATTGTCGTCCTCGATGCATCCAAGAAACTTGCTCTCCTGCGATATTAGTTTAATCAGTCGAACTTTAAAAATTTATCTTCTTTTGAAATTCGATGTATCCCATATTTATATTCTTTAATTCGTAGAATTGTTTACTTCGGGACAGAAAACTAAAAATATCTGTGAAGTCCTTGGCGGGATTCGGACTCTGGACATGCCTCATGTTTTCAATGACAGCACGATGGCGCGTAGTAAGGAGAATTCTTTACATATTTTTAGAATTCGAATTTATTAATTTTAATGATGCTGAAAATTCAAACTTCGCTCTGTCTCTCAACTGCTGTTCTAAAATTCAAGATCATTCAGAGTTCCGAACGACTTAAACGCTAGATTGAAATTTGAGAGGTAATTTTAAAATTAAGAAAATGTACAAATTTTAAAAGCAGGCCATAAAGCTGAAAAGCATGAAAATCTAGAAATAATTCTATCGCATTTCAGTTCAGCCTGATTTGTCACCTTCTTCTGCGGTGTCCGCCGAAAACATCGCTGGCGAAAACGTCGCGGAGAAAACAACGCAAGGCGAAAACGTCGTGCTATAAAACATCGTAGGAGAAAAAAAAAAGCAAAGAAAAAACATCGCAGTTCTGAAACATCGTGGTACAAATATCGGCATCGAAAATAAAGCGGTTCAAAAACTTTGCAATTTAAGAACATCGTCATCGAAAATATCGTGGTAAAAAATAAAGTACTTACAAATCATCGCATGGCGATAACATCGCGCACGTGCGTTTTTCAGATTTTAAAAGCTGTAAATGCATTTTCATATAATGATTTGGGAGCTCAAGAAGGAAAGTGGAATATTTTTACTTTTATATTTCATATTTTTGAATGAACTAATAAAGTTTTACTGAAAAACTAAGAAGGAAACTTAAGCATTGAAAAATTGAAAATGAGTAGAAAATTAATGCAAATTACAGCACTTAATCTAAGTTTAAATTTACATAGTTAATTTACAAAAGTCATCAATAAATTAATCTTTTTCTATAAAGTTTTACTCGCCCAGGAGACGCTGAAGACTTAGAGACTGCATAGTATTTATTAAATCATAGCAATTTTTCAAAAGGTAAGAGTTATTTCACAGCATTGCAAAACCCGCTCTCCCTAGAAACTTTTTAAAGAAAACATATCAGAATTGTCTTACCAGTTTTGCGTTTTAGATATTTAGAATTTTTATTCCATTATTATTCAATTTTTTTGAAGTAATGTTTGTGTTTTTTTTATATATTATGTTAATAATTCTCATTTACTTTGCAAACCTCGTGCTATACATTGCAGCAGATTAAGATGTAGAATTAAGGGTAAACCCCGAAAATGATAAAAAAATAAGGCTGACTTTTATATTTTATGTCCTATGGGTTTATTAACTAAAGAAATTTCAAATTTCAGAACACATTTATAAGTAACACTGAGAACGGCAAGTATCAGCCTCATATTTTTGTAGAACAATAGGAATCTGGTTATAGTAAAAATAGTTTAGAAGCAATGTATTTAAACTATTTTCAGTTCATACATGTTACGCTGATTTCTGTCTTCTAGGATATATCAGATACTTCTGATGGTTTGCATTACATGATAAATGGTTTGAAAGCTTCAACGACATATATTGTTTCCTTGAGCACGAGAAACTCTATGGGTGAAGGTCCAGCTGATGTTAGATATATAACTACTCAGCCAAAAAAAGAAATATCAAGTAAGAAACAATTATTTTCAAGTTAAATTTAGACTCAATTGCAAAGACATCTTTTTTTTAATCAGAATTATTATTATTTTTTTCTTTAGTTATAAATACCTTCAAAATATATACTTCTATTCAATTTTATGAATGAACATCTTATTTTCAACTAATAATAGTAATAACAAATTTGAAAGTAAATAATCTTAGTTTACACTTTGGGAAAATGTTTCAAAGACAATAATGGGCTTGTTTAGAACATAGGTTTGGTTTGGTTTATTTGATTATGGCAAAGCACACTAGGGCTATCTGCCTAAGGGGAATAATACATTCGTGGAATTGTGTGTATAGTCACAGGCTACCTTACCTACATTTGAATTTAAATTTATCTTTTGTTAGTTTAAGTGCCCGCAAGTAGGGGAGGTTCGTCTGTCGCACAAATGTGGACTTCTGTTCGTTTAATAGTTAAATAAAAAGGTTATTTTAAACTTCGTGCGTCATATGCTCTAGACTAAAGCAATAACTCGCTTCACAGTCTATAGGGTCTGCAGACACTGAGACAAGTTTATAGACATAGCAGAACCCTTCAGTTTCAAAAATAAATTCTATTAACATGCAGCAAAACACTGAACACCAAACGAAACAAATATTAAAGTTATTTTCAAACTATTATTATTAATTTCGGATAAAACTACTGAACTTCTAATCAGTGACAAAAACTGGGAAAATAGACGTAGTAAGCATTTTCCCTATCAAACAAGCTGACACTTATTCAGCTTTTTTAAACTAATTTCATAACTTAATGTAAAAGGGCAATTTAAATATTAATATTTTATTTTGTAGTAAAACTTATTGATGATAGTAGATGCAATCTCAGGCACCTGTGTGTTTGGCGGACCAGCTCTGGTATAGTCCACTATGACTATCTAGAAAGTGGAAAAACCAAAACAGCCGAGGTCTACTCTGCTGCAACGAGTTTCATTTGCATTGCATCAGAAGCAATAAACACTGGTCAACAGAAGAGGAGTTCTGCACGATAATGCCATACCTCATACGGCAAAAGCTACCAAAGGAGGTAATCAAACCACTGGACAGAGAAACACCCTGTTCCTCGGACATCACTCCATTCGACTATTACTTGTTTTCGGTCGTGGATAACCACCTGCAGGAACAGCAGTGGTCATATTATGAGCCTCTCTTTCAAGAAGGGCATGAAAATCTTTGCCACATGCACCAAGTGCCGAGAACATCAGGCGTCTGCCGAGCACATATTAAGCTTCTTCGGCCTCCTAGGGAGGATATTTACTCCAGTCCCCTCCTTGTGCTCGACTTTCTTAGAGTCAATGGTCTTTTGGACCTTGTCTGACTTCCTCAGAACCGGAGGAAAAGCAACAACAACAATGACAACAACAGGAACAGCAGTTCCGGAAATGCGACGATGTCACAACGGCTGTATTACAATTTTTTGACTCCAGAAAAAAGTATTTTTTTCAAACAGGGCACTTACAAGCTTGCGTCTCGTTGGGAACATGTAACTGAAGTCAGTGGTGATTATTTGGAAGAATAAAATGGGTGTTTAAGATTTTTGTAGGCCGTTTTTGATGTGTGACAAAAACTGCACGAACTTTCTCGGTTACCTGGTAAATAAAAAGTAGCGAGAAGGTTTAAATGATCTTTTTATTTAAACAGACTTAAAAACATAAACGCATTTTCTTCTGCTCACAATATCAGTCACAGCTCATGTTGATGCAACTAAAGGAAAAGTGAAATGCAGGTTAAACATGGAGCAATAGCCAAAGACTACACAGTTTGAAACTTACTCGAAGCTGACTCAGTAATTCGCCAAAATCACAGTGTCGACACCAATATAAAGGAAAGCCGAATAATTACAATTATCAAAACTGGCAGGAAATAAATACGCCTCTGTCTCAAAATTATAAAACCTGAATTCAAATTCTGGCTACTCATTTGTCTTCTGGTGAGGAAAACGGGACGGAGAAGTTATAATAAAGGCTGAATTATAACTAACTGGTTAATCTATATAATAAACTTACAAAATGATAAGTGACAGATCGGAATTACTTAAACGTAATATTTTAATAAAATAATTAGAATTCAGGTAATTTTTGCACAGATTAGGAAAATTAGTGAAAGGCAATACAAATTTAGTTTTATACTATCAGGGTCGCCAGTTACTTGCAATTAATTTTTTTTATACTCATTCTAAACACATTTGCGACTGCATTAAAATTCTGTACATGTTGCTATATTTTTTGAATACTGGCTATTTCATTTTTAGCTTTAATGTTTTTCGGATATACCTTTTATGTTTAAACTCAAGTCATAGTCATTAAGTTGTAGGGTTTATATTTATTTTAACTAACATTTATTTTAAGTTTAAACTATCTTTCCTGTCAAGCCTTACTTTCCCCTGGAATTGCCAATGCCAGAGTATGTAAATTTTAGTAGAACGCGCAAGGATTCAAATTGTCAGCGGAAGTAATCTGAGTTAAATAGAAGGGAAACGAGATCGAAGGTGGGCTTTTTTGCTTTACGAGCGTGGAGGTGGCTAGTTAGAAATTGAAGAACCACACGTTTCGGCCTGTGTGCTTGCCTCGGCAGATTGTTAAATCGTTCAACGTAATATTCAGAAGTTTGCTGAATTATCAGCGGTATCTTAGAAAGCGGTTAGGTTAGTTACGTTTAGAGAGCCTCGTAGTTAGTCACTGTTATTATTCTTTTTGAGTTTCTTATTTTATTTTATCGCGGGTCGGCGTAGTTTGTGAGCGTCAAGAGTACGATTGTAATTTCTAAGTGAATAAAAAGGGATTTAAACCCTTATCAGACTTGTCTACTTTCCGTTCTTAGCAGTCACCACTATTGTTGCGTGCAGGTTGGAAGCGCGCAACATTACAAAGTGAAAATATATTTGTAACTGAACTCTTAATTACATGAGAGTTTTATAAGATGTTTAATTTATACTTTGTAGTTTGTTTAAGACTGAATGCGCAATAAAAATTATGTATATCCCATGGAGGTAGAAATATGTGTTTTCTACTGATATAAAAACAAGCATTTCTTTTACATGCCACATTTTATTCCTATCTCATATTAGTTTGATGTTTTATTTTCATGCTATGTCACTTTCATGTGACACTACTTCAACGTTTTCTGATAGCTTTCAAGGTTTTTAAATTTATTATTAGAGCTGATGGGATTCTGTGGTTCTGGTGAATATAAATAATAATTGATTTCTTATAATTTTTAAAATGCATCGAATATTTTAAAACTGGTGTGACTGTTTACATAAACAGGGATAAATACCCATGCATTTCTTATAACGTGAAACCTTTAAGAAATATTTGATCATTTACTTATCTGGAGATTACCTTTGTACTTAAATATCTGAAGTTTTTTTGGTGTACTTACAGTAACTAAAGATTTACTGTATACCTAGAAAGAAATGAGAAATTAATTATTTAATTTTAAATTAATTACCTATAATTTGTTTTAACTATTCTTTTTTTTTAATATAGGCTCACGTCATACGCCTGCTTATCTTGTTTTTGCTGCCAGACAAAAAGTACTTAAACAAGGTCTTCGAATATTTGATGAAGCTGAAGTTTTGTATGACGTTAAAAATAAAACTGCATTTGTAACAGGTAATCACATTTACATTTTTAGTTTTAATTCGAAAAATTCTTCATTTGCGTACATATGCTGTTAATAAATAAATTATACCAGGGATTCTCAACCAGGGTTTCAAGGGGGAGGAATGCGGTCAGCCTGTAGAGTTTCACTTGATTTGGTAATTCTAATTAGTTCGATAACACTAACAGACATGAAGAATTTTATTTTATATTTCTGACAGAATTTTATTCTTTAACATTTCTGCAAAATGTTGTTCTATTGTTTCCCACCCGATAGTCCAACCACATTTTTAGTTGGATTCGAATCACGGTTCTTTCAGTTGTTAATTGATCATACTAAAACATTTATACCACAAGATCACACACTGAAAATGCGAAAATATCTAACAAATGTGTTACAGCAAATTCATTTCAAGATATTTATTGTTATGTGTTGCTTTTTTCAATAACGTATAGAAATAAAAAGGAAACATACTTTTAATTTATGTTGTTGGGTTTCGACTGATCAAACCCGATAGACAGTAACATCAGATCAGGTCTCTGACATCAGAGCAAGCCCACGAAATTCATCTTGGCAGGGGTAAATACCGGGCGTGTCGTTGGCAAGAGCCTTGGGCACCATACAGGTGACAACACAACTTTAGCTCGATTCAGCTCCTAATTTTGAGGGAGCGCAACTCAAGGGGGCGGGTCCAAAGGTCTCCCACCCATCTTCCGCTAAACCAACCTCTCGAGATGACTTTTGGCTCGCTGTATATTTAGAGTGCCTCCATGCTGCACAGACTTTTACAAATATCCATGCCTTATCGGGAATTCGAACCCTGTCCCTTCGGTACGGCAGTCAGCGTCGGGTTGGGAGTTACTTTTAATTTGTTATTTTTCCTAGGATAAGTCAGTTATTTTAAACAGTTTTAATAATAGTTTAATAATAGTTTTAATAACAGTTTTTTAATGTATGTATTATAGGAACTGCTCTTCATGTTAAACAAGATTTGGTTTTTATAACTGATTCGTATGGCAATCTGCATAGCATAACATTGAAGAAACCGGAAAAAGTGGATAGAATTATAAGTTCTAGGGCATCTTATCCTATGAAGCTGTCTTTTGATTGGTTAAATGGAAAATTATACATGGCAGAAGATAAACAGGTAAAATAGTTCTTAATAATCTGTTAAAATGTGATAAGTAATGAAGCAACAACTAACCTACGGCAACATTTTTCAATAATACTAATATTTCTCTTTTCGAAAACTTCTTGATTTTAATGCATAACATATCCGATTTGATTCAGTGCTATATTGCCCATCAGCGGTCAGGCATTAAGTTTGCTGAACATTCGAAATTCGACGCCGGCTCACATATCCCGGCGATAAGCTGCCTGCATCGTGGTTTTATTCCATGTATAACATGAATACAACACAGTTTCCTTTAAAACAACCTTCATGAAAGCATCCCTTCCGTTAGGCAAATAGCCATCATATGCTTATTTCATACAATAAGCTTATACAATAATCCATATAATCTAATCAGTGTTATACTGAGGTTTTTAAAAACATTATATGATACTAATTAAAACAAACTTCATGCTTCTATTTCTGCATAACAGTCTGCTTTTGTAACATTTGTTTGGTTTCGTTTAGGTTGTGTCATTAAAATGAACGAGGTAAAAGCTTCTTACTTTGAAATGTACTTGCATCTGGAATTAGTGCTCATTGTAATATGTAATAATTAAGGAAATTAATGAGTAAACTTGAATCTGCCAGAAAGAAAACTGATGAGACGAATAAAAGTAAAATGCACACATTTATAAAGCAGATAATTTCGGCTCTGAAGCAATGTAAATATTCTATTAATTTTCTTAAAAACTTTTAGAAAAAATTAGTAATAATTTTTGAAACGATGGAAAGTAGAAGTCTTTACTTGTTAAAGTCTGGATTTAGTTCAATTTGCATTGATTTAATGATCTGCTAAATAACTTAACGCTGTTATCGAAAATATATAGTACACTGAAAAAACTCTATAATGAATTAATGACCACATTTATTCCCAGAATCCAGAATAAACGCGTTGAATTGTTGATGCAAATTGTACTTGCTAACGCTGAAGTATTTAAGTTGTGGCTTTTTGTCAAGAGCACAGTTAAATGGAGAGAGAGTTAACCTTCTTGCCACTATACTTCGCGCGAGCTTGCAATCAGTTGCTGACCGCCTTTAAGACCAGAGGTTTTAGTCCTCTTGAAAGCTAAAGATGTATTGTAGTTTTCCGCAGTTTGCGTACTACATACGTAATAATTTAAAGGGCCAGTCTTAGTGTTAGTAACTTGTGTAAATTAAGACACAATAACACGCCGAATAAATACTAATTCAGAAGTCAAACAATAAAAATGCGTTATATTTACAAAATTTTCACAGGACTAGTTTCGATGGTTTTAAAACCGAACCACCATCCTCAGCTGCAAAACCGCAATGAACAAGATAGGAAATAAGATTAGATATAAGAAAGCCTGGACAAGAATAAGCAAGTGCGCCATCTTTGGGTGAACCAGAACTAAAACATAATTCTTTAAAGGGCCGAAGGCAAATTTGAATTGGAATTAGGATCGTTAACTAGAACAGAAAGATTTTTATGAATGTGAAATGCCTCTAGAAAATACAGTTTTCAATGGAAGATGTTTTTTGATAATTTGGCAGCAGAAAAATTGAAAGTGAGGTTTTCGGACCAACAATGTTGAGCAACAGAAGACTCTTGGTTTCTTTTTCTAACATATGCTCATGTTCCTTGACGCAAAATTTAAGGCTCTCTTAGTTGGCCATGTAAATTAAACCACACTGGCAAGGAATCCTTAAATACCCCATCGGTTTGCCTTCCACCACACTTTAAATCATGTTATCCGACTAAACAAAAGTTAGCTCATTTTATTCCTATGTTTTCCGTGCTTTCAAGTTTGCTCCTCCAAACTAGCCCTTGATGAAGAACTAAATTATTTAAAAGCATAGCTATTGACAGGGGCTTTCCCCCCAAACATTATTAATCAAGCAGTTTAAAAAATTCTCATCTCAACACATTAAAAGGCACATCTTGTTTTAGAAGATTATAAAAATTCTGTTGTCATTCCCTTCTTTCCATCAATTAGCTATAAAGTTGAACATATTTTGCAGAAATTTAACTTTCGGTTGTTTATTCTCCCATCAATAAAATTCCGAGTTCCATACTCAAGGACCCCATTCCGGATATGAATTCCTGGGGTATTTATAGGATTCCTTGCCAGTGTGGTTTAATTTACATTGGCCAAACTAAGAGAGCCTTAAAATTTCGCGTCAAGGAACATGAGGCATATGTTAGAAAAAAGAAAACCAAGAAGTCTTCTGTTGCTCAAGATTGTTGGTCCGAAAACCACACTTTCAATTTTTCTGCTGCCAAAATTATTCAAAAAAATATCTTCCATTGGAGAAATGGATTTTCTAGAGGGATTTCACATTCATATAAATCTTTCTGTTCTAGTTAACGATCCTAATTCTAATCCAAATTTGCCTTCGGCCTTTAAAGAAATTATGTTTTAGTTCTGGTTTCACCCACAGATGGCGCCACTTGCTTATTCTTGTCCAGGCTTTCTTATCTTATCTAATCATTATTTCCTATCTTGTCCGTTTGCGGTTTTGCAGCTGAGGATGGTGGTTCGGTAAAACCATCGAAACTAGTCCTGTGAAAATTTTGTAAATATAACGCTGATTTTTGTTGTTTGACTTCTGAATTAGTAACTTGTGTAAAGTTTTCAAAGTTAACTCCTATGTTTAGCTAGTTAGCAGTTCGCATATTTTTACGTTCAGAACACAAGTGGTTAGTCTTTGTATCCCGAAGTGCGGGAGCGCCCGTAATGTGGAAGGGTAATTAAACCCTTCTCATCTTGTAGTCTCTCCTACACTCCATAAGACATAGTTTGTAGTCAAACTCACTGTCTAATCAGGACACGTCATGTTCGCCAAGCACATTAGGAGAAATACAAGTCCTGATACATTTAACTAATAACTTCGTTTTATACTTATTTTTCAGTGATTTCTTTAAAGATAATTAAAGTAGGCTGGAGAAATTAAGTATGACTGAGTAGCTAGCCCATTAAGATACCCATACCATGTTAATCAAGATTTTGACTATGCTGGCTGTAATGGTAAAGATTTAACTAAATATTTGTTCTTAAAATCTTCAGATTTAGCTAACGTTTAGTAGCTTTTGATTATTAAAAAATGTATTTGTTTTCGAAACAATGGAAACAACTCAAGGAATTGTTATAGTGAGAGTTTACCTTTTTATTTCAACAATAAAATAATAAGATAAATATTTCCATATATCGATCCAATATAAAAACTATAAATATTAAAGGATTTTTATGTATTTCATCTTATTTATAATTGCATGAATGCATAATTAATAGCATAAAAGAGTCTTTCACAAAAACGAGAAGATAATAATATATATTTGCCCTGTATATATCCCAGACGAATCAAAACTAAACTTTAAAATTAACAGTAGCATATCCCAGAGCATTTTATATTCTCGTTTGAATATCTATTCAAAAGCAAATTTTCAAGATATGCGACGGATAAATAGCCTGACCTAGGGAATTTTAATTATTACTTTTCATCAAGCAATTACTCTTTTTTAAATTAGGCAAACCAACAGCTTATTTTTGGCGTTGATTTTAAATAAAATACTTTCGATTTCGGGGGGTGATCAGACATAAGCCCTTTTAATTCAGTAGCAAAAGATTTCTGAAAAGAAAGGAGGAATGACGACCTATTTTTCTCAACTCTATGCTCATGTTCATTTTGCCCCGTTCATTGTTTCTGATATAAATGCGGTCCTTGCTCTTCCTTTCATTGCAATTTTTTTTGGCTTCTGAAGAAAAGAGACATGTGTCTCATCTCTCTCGAAACCGACATAATTTTACTTAAAATCTACGTCAAAATAATTTCAATGTTTTGCCTAATTTTAAGTTTTACATTGGAGAGTTTCTCTTCCTTTTTGATCACTTACTATGTGGAGTCTCGCATTTTGGGGAAGCATAAACTAGTAAGAAAACAGGGAACGTAAAAAAGGGTGTAAAAGGACCTTTTATTAAAGCTCAGTAATTTAACAGGAGACGCTCCTTGCGCTTACAAAACCAGCCAGCATTCAAATTAAAACTAAATTAAATCGTAAGTTAGCCAAAGGATACACAGAGTGAATAACGCACAATTTGACTGAAACCTATGCCGGCGTGACAGGCACTAATAGCAAAAATAAAACAACACCGCAGACCGACAGCTATCGTAAAAATTCAAATGGCAACGTGGCTTTCAGTAGACAGAGCATACTCTGATTAAACAATCTAAAATGTTCCTTTCTACCTCATTTGAATATGCGGAAACTAAAACTGGCACTTTGAGAGGAAAGCGGAAAAGAAGAATGACAGTAAAGTTATTTTACGTTAAAATAAAAATAACTGCTTAGATAAAAACACATAAATCCTTACAATTGCATATTTCTTCATTGTTTTTGCCTTCTTTTAAACCAGTGGTATTCCAACTTTATGGCAGTGTGATTCCGTAAAAATGTAAACGACCCCGAAAAACAAATTCCTTTCCCTAATCAGAACATTGACCATTAGTTATATACCACCAATTCAGAATTTTTAGGATTTTTATCTACCTTGTTAACCCACTATAAGTTTTTGCGACCTATAGTTTGAATACCACTATTTTAAACTATTGAAGATAGAGCAGCTGCAATAAGATGCCTGCTCAATCTAGCAAATATTCTGCTTTAAGAGATAAATTTAATTTTCCAGCTATTAATCATTCGCACAATTCCCAAGCAACTAAAGCCTCGTCGGTTTCTATTCCCGGTGGTGGGATAGCTTGTCTGCTTGCGGTTTTGTCTGTAACACAAGTAAAATTTGGATTCAATTAAAAAGGTCTCCATGCAGCATTTCTTCATGCAGGCACATAGCTTTTTAATGTGCATTTCCATAATCAAATAATCCAATTCAGTCATTCATAAAATTCTTAACTGAGATAGTATCTTTTCCAGTAATCTGCTGCAGCTTAAGACAAGCATTTGCAGAAGTTTATAGTGAATCAGCCTTAATCAAACATCATAAACGTTTCATTCTACGATGGTCTTGATTACATGAAATTTATTTGAAATTTGATATGTAGGAGTTATATTTCAAGACTAAGCATTTTCATTGCTGAATTTTCCAGAATGTTTGTGTTACATTTGGGGGCTTATGTTTGTGTTTACATTTGGGAAGGAAAAATACTCTAAAAATCCGCACAGCCATATAACCTTTTCCTAGATATGAAAGATGAAATTTTTTATCAGATACAACTCAGTACTAAACATGAAACGAATAATTTGAATTTAAACCAGTAATCTCTTATTAACTCTTTAAGAGCACTTAAATATGATTTAAAATTTTAATTTTGTATCTTATCCATCTGTTTCGAGGTGCTTCTAGATGCACAGTTAGTTTTGAAAAGCAGTATTCATTGTTGCCCGAGTCTTACTTGTTTGTGTTAATTTATATGCATTTAGTACCTTTTATTTAGAATATGCAATAAACTTAGATGCACTTTCTTGTGATTTCAGATCACAAGATGCGATATCGACGGTAGTAACTTCGAAGTTGTTGTAGGTGACATGGAAAACCGAGCTACAGATCTACAAGTGGATCCTCTGAACGGGTAAGAAAGCTAACCAAAGCTTTTTTCAATCTTGTTTTCCACTGCATAATATATATAGTAAAATGAAATTGATTATACACTAATATTCGATATGAACTATAAACGTAAGCTTATAAGTACCTAAAACAACATTACGTTCAGCTGCATTTAAATAGATTACCAGAATTATATAACTTAATGCACAAAATTTCGATTTGCGGTTAAAAAGGAAATTGTTTTGGTAAGTTATTCTCAAAGATATTATCTTTTCATATTTCTAAGATATAAGTTAAGTAAGTAAAATAATAATTCCGAAAATAAATCAAAGAGATTTAATTATATTTGCATAATTTTCAAAAATATCTTAATTAGTTTTTACCGCTACTACTCTTTTATTCAAATCAGTTGTTCTAAAACAATGCAAATGTTATTGTTATTTTTACGTACGTTTCAATAATTCTCAGAACTACTTTTTAATTACTGTTTTCAGCTATTTGTATTGGACGATGAAAGACTTATTCTATGGAGGTGGTCTCTACAGAGTTGATTTGTTGGAGTTTAATAATGGCTGTGTGCCTTTTGGAAAATCTCAACTAATCGTTAATGATAATCAACTCGTGGCATTTGCAGTCGATTACAAAAATTTTCGCTTGCTTTTGCCATCAGCAGCTAACAATACTATCGTATCTGTTGCCCTGGATGGAAGTGATGTCACTGACATCAGAGAAAATGTTGAAACTGCACTATACACTAACGTTAAAAGTGTTGCAGTACATCATGATTTGTTATATTGGACTTCTGGCAGTTCAATCTATGGCGAAGAATATCATAAGAAAGAAGATAAATTTTACCAAAATGTGTTCTCAGTCAGGAACGGGCCTTTCTCATCGTTAAATATATACCACTCTGATTGCCAGCCACATCCAGGTAAGGGGAGAACCTTTTTCATCTTCCTACTATTGTTGTCTTAGATGTTTATGGTTGTAATCTTTTTCTAAACTTTTTTTATATATTTTCAGTGCCTCTTAATCCCGTTGAGGCTGTGGAAGCATTATTTGGTAGCGACACTGCAAAAATAAGGTGGGCAAGCCCAAGATTACTTGGTGGCCAAGGTAAATGAAAACTGTATTTCCATACTACTCTCAATCATAATCACATATATACATCCTCCATCATGAAGGGTTTTACCCATGCAGTCTTTTCTATATTTAGAAAAATGAATATGGTTATCTTCTCTGATATAAAACATAAAATATTTCTTACTCGTATTTCCGTTTGGAAGAATTTTAAGAATTTAGTTCGTTAGAGCAATGGCAACAAAATTTAGTACTGTGCATTTAAATTTGATCTATAATATTAAATCTGTTTATTTCCGTTCAATGTAATGAACTCAGTCCCTTAACAATGATAAACAGAAATATTTTCTCATATCCTTTTCGAGTTTGATAATATTTTAATTGATTTAGGCCAGACAGCTGCAAGAGCTTTCTACTCATGACGGACGCCCTAAGGTATTTTTCGCATCGTATTATTTCGTTAATTTTTTTTAAATGGCCGGGCGCTTTATTTAATAGCCATTAGCCTTGTGCTGGAAATGGTGGCCATTTTATTATATAAGCACCTAATAGGTGGCCACCGTTGTCTCCTGTGAAGGGACGGACAATTAAACAACCATGCCTTCTCGAGTATTCGAGCCCGAGCCCATTGCTACGTCAGTCATAGTCATTAACCACGATATCGGCTAGGCAGTTTTCGCATTATAAAAGGAGGAAAATAGGAAAACATTAATTAAGGTAAAATAACACGCCGAACAAGTAGTAATTAAGAAGTCAAACAATAAAAATCAGCGTTATATTTGCAAAGTTTCACAGTATAATGCTGATTATGTACACACACACACACACACACAGTGTAACTCATCATATAAAGCTGATTTTTGGTGTTTGATTTCTAAATTAGTTTAATTAGACCTGTGTTTCCCTGTCAATACACTGTGACAAACTGATGTGCTACGAAGTCCCATAACACCTAAATATTTGAATTTTTGCCCTTCAAAATTTTCAAACCTATATATATTTTGTGAAATTCAGAAAGACTCTGACCAGAAACCTATTGTATATTTACCAAGAAATCGTAAATGCAATGATAATTTTTTCTTCCTGTACAAGCGTTGAGTGACAGGGTTTTTGGTTTCCTAATGTGTAATGTAAATGCGAGTTAGTTTTACTTAGGAAGTTCTGCTCTTGATATATATTTAGAGCTCTTCTGCAATTCAACAATCGATTTTTAGTATCTAATGTACAAAATATCTCCTCTTAACTAATGCTGATGATATGGAGAAAATTATTAAAAAATTATTAATTTTTCGAGCTTCGACATTGAAAAGCAGATTTGCAGACACTTCAACCCCTTTCTTTTGATTTATGCGAGATGTGACTATTTCAAAATCTCAAATGAAACAATAAAATACTTTGATTTATAAGTCACAACAATACAACGTTTTTTCGATTCCTTGTAAAGGCCATGTTTGGTCTTTCAACTATAATACCACACAGTGGTCAGCAGTATAGAACACTTCAAGTTCAGACTTCATCAAAAAACAAACGATAGAATAATATTCTGATTATCACAACCAGTATCATCAATATAATTACAACCACTAAATTAGTACTGCTACAACCAAACTACTACCATTAACGATAATAAAAATAACGATAAATGAAACTTAGTACAATAAGATCATGGTTGTAATAAGTTTGTCTTGTGCCTCTTACATCTGCTTGACAAAAACATGGGTGTCGGGTTAAACGTGTCATTAGTTGAAAAGGATTAGAAATTAGGATTGAAACTGTAATATAAAGTTGAACCTCTAATGTTTAATGAAGCTGTCTGCTCCCTCGCTGATGAGTCAAAAAGAAAATGCACCGAATATTGAAGAAAAAGGCGAAAAGCTTTGTTGCAATGAAAAGTACACAGTTTCCAGTCATTCATTTGAGTGGCCGTTGCTTTTAATTAGTGCCTGATATCGTAGCCTTATAAGGTATTTCTCCCGCCTTCTTAGCATGCCTTCGTGGTGTAATGGTCAGCACACTCGACGCGTATTCGAGAGGTCCGAGTCTCGACGAGGGCATTGCTCATTTTTCGCGCCTGTCAACATCACAAATCCTAATGTCTCTACAGTGGCGCCCGAACTAAAAGGTTATGGTTGATGACTCTTCACCACCAGGATTGGAGATTGGGTCCCCTAATCCCCAGTTGCCCTTTAAAAAGGGCAGTATGTAAGGTATTTCTACCGCCTTCTTAGCATGCCTTCGTATTGTAATGGCCAGCACCATCAGCGCGTATGCGAGAGATCCGAGGTTCTTGTACCGGCGAGGGCATTTTCTTTTTTCATGTCTCCTGCATCAAAATAACCTAATGTCTCTACAGCTTTACGGTCAGACGCTTTATTGAACATGTTTTATTTTTGATACAAAAGTGCAAATACTGCGAACTTTTTGTAATCAGAAATTAATAATTCTTTAACATTAATATGAAGCTAGAAAGGTCTAGAGAGAGAGGGAGAAAGAGAGAGAAACTGAACTACTCAGAATAGACGAAAATCAACTTGAAATTTTTTATTCGATTCGTTTGAACACTCTTTCCTTCGATTTTCTCTAAATAATCATTATGCAAAAATTCAGACAGAATTTTAAGACGCTAACTGCATGCCAATTACTTTGAGCAATCAATATGCAATTAGTGCCTTAAAACTTTTGTTTGGACATGTGTCCTGTCATCTAAGTTTCTTAATTGTTTACGTACTGCTATGCTGTTTATGGTGAATAATAATAAAGGCAAGATGATTTTTTATATCAGTGTACGGCGCGCGAAAATTTACTCCCTATTGAAAATTTAAAAAAAAAAAAATTATTACTTAATCAACTTTCATGAAACAAAAATAATTTTGTTTCTTACAATGTAAGAATGGTTATGCTTTGCTAAAATTGCACATAAACAATTTCATTATTCACTAGTTTTTGTAAACTGTTGGGGATGCTTGCGACAGGTACCTGCGGTACGTTTGAAAGAACCTGGTGAAATCACTCCTCCAGTGCATCAAAAAGTTTTGGTTTTGTGCGATAAACTTTCTCTTTTACCCTCTTCCCAGAGAAAGAGGTCTCAGGTCGTTAGGTCAGAACTTCTAGCAGGCCACTCCAGTGGGCCGCGACGTCCCAACCAGCCTCCTCAAATAAAGGTATCAAGCCACTCACGGTCAGTACGCGCGAGATGAGACGAGGCCCCATCTTGCATAAAGATTGTATTGTAATTGTCTTGCATTGAAATTGCATTGTAATTGTCCCACGTCCATACAATACCGAGACCACAGTCTTCAAGCAATGTTCGTGGAATTCATGCGACACCATACTGTGACCTTTGGGAGATGTTGGCTTTTTTCAACAACAACGATTATCCTCGAATCCTCTTCTGCCCAATAATAACAACTGAGTCGGTTAATAAACTCTCCATCATGCAATATGGCTTCATCTGACCAAAGGGTATTACCGAACAGATAGGACTAGTCTTCATACAAAGCAAGCATCATCTTCCCATGCTGAAAGCGATCTAATTACGTCTCATGATCACAGTCTTCTAGTGATAATTCCTGGCAGCAATGTGGTATCTGTAGACGAAAATTCAACTCTTCATTCAGTACAATTCGGATTGTGTGATGGATTTAACCACTTTCACGAGATGCCTGTATATGTGCTTTCTGAGTACTTCGAGTGAACATTTCTTGAACCGTTTGCACATTTTCCTCCAGCCTGAAGGTTGAGAGGCGACCGTTTTTCCTAATATCTGTAACAGAACGTGCGTTTGTCAGCTTCGGATGACAAATCCTTGTGGTCTCTGCATATACCGAGTCATTATGTCCTCTTACACATCATCGCCATCTTTGTACTTGTGCCACGGACTGCCATACTTCGTACCGAGATGCAAGCTGAACCCGGTCACACAAAGTTAGATGTTCCGCCATGCTCCGCCACTGACACCTGCAATGACATAAGTGAAATATGTAATAGATTCTTATATTATAAGCAACGAAATGCTTTTTCATAAAAATTGGTTAAGAATTAAAAAGGTTATAAACAATTTTGAATACGGAGTTAATTCCTCACCACCCTGTGATTTACACCAAACAAATAGCTGAAATAAATTTAACAAACAAGCGTCATCTATCCAAGAAACATTGTTTCAATTCATTTCGACTATTTATTTATCTTTTGTTCCCTCCTTGGGCAGAATATATTTGTAATTTATCCCCAAGCGGAAGAGGGACGTAGTTGTCCGATTTCTTTGAAACCAATAGAGGATTTTCCATAAAACTAATGCAATTTTCCTCCTAAGATTATATTTAAGATTGGCATGTATCATTTCCTAATAAATTTGCAACTGTTTATCGAAATTAAAAGAATGAGTAAACGAAATCCATGATCGAAATCTTGCATACATCATTAGTATTCTCCTAGCATTTTACAAATTTAACATTAGTGGAGGAATAAATTATGAAACGGAATACCAATCACTTATGTGAATTATGAATTTACTTCCAGCTAACTTTAAAGTGGATCATTTGACGATGAAATTGAATCTTGCACAGTTTTTTGAGCTGAGATTGAAGCATACGACACACTCCATTTGTCTAAAGTGGGTGCATAATTTCAAAAACCTATCTTCCCTCATCTTGTTTACCTTATATTTCCAGTTCACATTATTTCAAGAAATTGCATTTATTGCTACTATACAAAACATAAACAAATTTACATTTTGCAAAATGTAAAATACAAAGCATAAACAAATTCATAATTTTATGAATTGTAGAGACATTAGGACTTTTTGGAAGCTGGCAAGATGAAAAATTAACAACGACTTCGCCGGGAATCGAACCGCGGACCTCTGGAATACCGGCCCAGTGTGCTGACCACTACACCACGAAGGCACGCTAGGAAGTCGGGAGAAATACCTTATAAAATATCAAAATCAGAATTTGATGCTAACAGCTTCTAGTACCTCATTACCTTCGAATTTAAGTCGTAGAAAAATTTTAATATTGATAAAACTAAAAAGTAATAAAAAACGACCTTATTGTAAGTGTTGCAAAAACATTTATTCTGAAACCATTTTGAGTTTTAAGACCTTACTTATCTTAGAAAAATTTATCACTTACTTATTTTAGACACATTTATTTAGGACATATTTATTTATTATTTATCATTAGTGAGTGGGAGATGGACAGAAATAAGTTAAAATTCGTTTTGAGTTTTATGTCTTAAAAACTATAATAAAAAGCACAGTTCAAATTCAAAGAAATATTCTATTTTTCATAAAATACTCTAAATGATTATTATAAATTATATTGTATACTTATTATAAAGACTTTATGTTTTTAATATTTTGTGCTCAGAATAACGTTTAATGCATACTGTTTTAGGAAAGGGATCTTGGCAGAAATGGTTGTATGAAATTGAACTTTTGGATAGAAGAAGTACATTAACTGTATTTGGAGTAAGCATTAGCTCAAATGCATATGACGTCAGCAATCTGAAACCTAATACAACTTATTCTGTCAAAGTGAGAGCTTATAGTGACGGTGGTAAAGGACCATGGTCTTCTGAATTTACAGGAACCACACTTAAGAAGAGTAAGGATATTTACTACAACAGATATTCAGTTGGTGATAGCGTATTATTTTGAGATATCATCTTAGATTATGTAAATGAGTAAAGGAAATAAAAATGTAACTTTCAGATTTAATTTAGAAGTAAAAAATAATTTAATTTTATATTACATTCTGTAATATATTGTTTTAAACATATAAAAAACTGAGCCTTTAATTCTGGCCATTAAAACACTTTTTTATCTTCCAGGCAGAAAAGCTGGAGAACCATTTATTCTTTGGGGAGCTAGAGAAGGTTTACTGAAATCTGAAGTTCTTGGAGAAAACGTTCAAGTTCTCATACATAAGATCAACCTTAATAATGCACATATTATAGGTAATTATATAATAAGTAACTTCTTTGCTAAACACATTATTATGTTCTAAATGTTAAGTATTGATCAATGTGCTTACACACCATGAAAATGGCAGCTTTGCTAAAAAATTAATCCAGTTGTTCTTTGGTTCTTTGGTTTGATAATCTTTCTTACTTATCAAGTTTCTTTGACTACATTAAAGTGTTATAATAACATTTTAGTAGATAATAAAACGAGCTTGTTCTTGATTTTTAAAGGATCAGGCTAGTGGTTAAGGAAAAATTCAACTTCAAGTTCCGAAACAAATTTAGTCATTGAAGTCCATGAGGGAGAGTAGCTTGTATTTTGCTATAGATGTAACTGGAAAGTGCTCAGCAAATAAGAAAATGTCTGAGTTTAAAACATTCGGACGCACATATTGAAAAACATCGGACGGCAATGGCCGGCAATTGGAAAACGTCGGAGGGTCACTCAAACTAAATTTTCTTTCATTGAACTTTAGAATCAAGATCCTTCTAATGGTAGTTGCCTTGAACTAAAAAGCATCAGCTTTGTATATAATATTTATTGACATTCTGAAGCATGAAATATTAAAGAGAAAAATTATCTGCAGCACAGTGTGGCTAAGAACGCTATTCTACTGAAAAAACATAAACATGAACAACTGATGCCATTCACACAAACTCAATAGTAAAATAAAGCATGTTGCCAGTAACAAGATTATTATAAAAAATCATAACATGAAATTAAAGAGTGCGAAAATAAATAAGGCAAAGAAAAAAAAGAAATGCAAATATTAAATATACATCCAACAAATGGCATTCACTGACTTTAATTTAAAGGGAGCTCAGCATTTTTTAGGTAAATAACTGGAGGAAAGATACTTTTTCATTTCGTAGCCACATTGAGCACGGTATAGAAGTTTGCAGATGTAGAGTCAACAGATTTGATGACATTTCTTCAACTATTGCATGCGTCTCGCCAGTTTTGTTTCAAAGCCAGAAAGATTTCTAGCACCAGAGCTGTAAATATTTATATACGTAAAACGTATTAAGCTGAATCGTAACGAATGAATACATATTCCTGCAAAAGAAAAATGCTCGTAGAGGAGCTTCCGAAAGCGGGATACCTGAATAACAGGTTCATCTTTTATAATGAATATATGCGAGGAACGTTCTTATCACGTTGACAGAAACTCGAATTTTAAATGTGATAAATTTCGCAGGAAGAAGAATTTTTTAACCGCTTTTATAAATCTTGTACCTGCGGTCAAAGGGTTAATATATATAAACAAATACTCCAGTTTAAATTTAACCAAAATTCAATCATAGATTGATGTAGCTTTTTTTATACAGAAACTCTGTGCACTCAGAAAAGAAAAGAAAAGACTCACATAGATGGCAGAAAGTCAAGCCAAAGGTTAGATTTTGCGTAGTTTTAAATATAAATAAATTAGCACAGAAAATAAAACAAATTCTCGCAAATCTTTAAAAAAATTGCAAATGAATATTTGTACTGATTTGTAACACCTAAATTTACTGTTAACTGTACTTTTATGCTATTAAACTGGTAAAAGTGCATAGGGTACTATAGAAATTATTACAGGATCGAACAGGTATTGCCCCAGTACACTATCCAGCTACAGTTTGACAACCCCGAAGTGGTAGCTTGAGTGGCTGCACCAAAGGGAGCGGGAGGTAAAAGTTTTGATCGAAAGATTTGAATAGACTGGTGTGCTCTTTCTTCTAAGAAACAATGTAGTAGTTACATTTTTACATAAGTGAATATTAACATAAAATCAGGAAAAGCTACATAACAGAAACTGTTGAGTATACTCATCACATAATTAGATTACGCATATACAATAGAACTGATACTTTGGAGATCGTTGCACTGGAATTTTAACATTTGACTACCCTAACGGAATTTCTGGTGTTTGTAACGTGAGGATGTTTGTTACAGGTAAGATCGTGCTAAGGCAAATTCAACAGTTTATGGAACATATATACTCCATTTTTAATTTTTGCTTAGATGTATGAACAATGTTATTGCCAGTGTTAACTGCGGCTTCCGTATTTTGCATTTTTATGTACTTTTTTATTAAACGACTAATTGCACATTAGCCTTCTAACAACATATGGAAAGTTAATACAAAAATTACTCAGATGTTTACAATGACTTTTTATGTTTGCCCCTCCCCCCAAAAAAAGTGTTTTGTCACTAGCAAAGTAAGAACTTCTGTTACGTTATATAATTTTAAAAGTCAATTTCGGGCTAGATACTGCACTAATTTTCTTTTCCACAATAATATTATGTTTGAAGCTCATTACTGTACTCAGTTTTAAAACAGAAAGCAATATTTTACGCTATCTATTATTTTGATGAGGTATGCATAAAATATCTTTATAGATAATTGATAATTTCCTAACATATATAAGCTAAGAACTAAATAAAATTTGCTTATTTCTGATCACTTATTATTTAAATGAAAGGGGGATATACACTGGTGTGCAAAAATTAAGGACGAAGTCGAAAAATTAGCATATCAGCTGAACGAAGAGGCAGAGCGGACAGAAAGACCAATCAGGAGATTAAGTAAGGTGATGTACGGTAGCACATGCGCAGATATGCAGGTAGACGTAATGGGGGAGTGTCTGAGTAGTATAAAGCATGTTGTCGGTGTAAGATCAGTATTTCTGGCAAAGAGATTGCACGCCGTATAGCAGTTAAAATCACACCGAGTTGCTGCCTCAGCGAGAAAATGGCGAATAATCAATCTGTTAGACGACATCTGGATGCTTTTACCCGAGGTCGAATCATTAGGAAGTTGGAGGAAGGCCGCAGTGTGAAAGTGTGGCTTCAGAGTTCGGAATTGCTCACAGCATCGTTTTCACGACTTTGGAGACAATTTCCAACTACAGGAACAGCTATCCGGGGGTTTAGTAGTGGTCGTCCACGAGGAAACCACACCCGCAGATGACCGTTATATTGCCTTACAGGCCAGAAGAAACAGGCGGCAGACAGCGGGAGAAATCGCTAGACAACACACGACACAGACGACTGGACGACACCTTATCGCGTTTTACCGTGGCCAGAAGGACTGCACGGTGGTGGTCTGTTTGCACGACGCCCTGTACGGTGTGTACCTTTAAACGCCTGCCCATCGGAGAAGGCGTTCTCTGTGGTGCTGGGAACATCGGAATTGGAGAGACAATGAATGGGGACGAGTACTCTTTACAGATGAGAGCAGATTCAGTCTGAGTAGCGATTCTCATAGCATACTCATCTGGAGAGAGCGGGGAAGCCGCAATCATCCCTCGAACATCATTGAAAGGGACAGGTATGGAGGTGGCGGTGTTCTCGTTTGGGAAGGCATCATGCTTGGTAGTCGTACAGACCTTCACATCTTCGACGCAGGTTCAGTCAACGGGACCCGTTATTGTAACGAGATTCTTTTTCCATATGTGCGTCTTTTTAGAGGCGCTATGGGTCCGTAGTTCCTTTTCATGGACGACAATGCACCTTGTCATCGCACAGTAGCTGCCGAACAGCTCTTAGAGAGTGAGGATATTGAACATATGGATTGGCCGGCACGATCTCCGGATCTCAATCCCATCGAGCATGTATGGGATTTTCTAGGCATACGCTTGGCAGCTCGTACCTTACCACCAGTAAAGATTCCGGAGCTTCGATTGGCGCTGCAAGGCGAATGGGCAGCAATGCCTCAACAACTCATTGACACCCTCATTCTCAGCATGGGCAGACTCTGTAAAATCTGCCTAGTAGTCAGGGGAGATCATATCCCCTATTAAAGACCGGATGTTGCTTGCTGGACACCCATCACAGGGATGTTTCGGCCTTCAGTCGCATTGCGCTCCATGCTATTTTTTCAATAAAGCTTCTTTTTATCCCTCTAATTTCTCTTTTAGTAAGTGTTGCTTACATTACTCATGTCCTTACGTATTGGGGATCTTACGGTATTAAATGTGTTGATTTGGAAAGCTTTTGTACAAAGTTATATTGAAAAAAACCGTCTCGTCCTTAATTTTTGCACACCAGTGTAATGTTTTGCTTATGTATACTTTGTTGATAAATGAAAAAAACTATTGTAAATTATTTAAAGAAATGCTTTTATTTATATTTATACTGTGCAAGTTTTAAGGCAGCTGATATATCTTTTAGGGTTATAATTTAAATTATCAAACTCTAACTCGCTCGCTCCATAACATTTAGCAAGAAATTCATTATAGTGTTTGTTAATGTTAAACAAAGAAGTTTAATTAGTTCTCATATAAAAGGAGAACTTTCCTTTAACAATTGGGGAAATATAATAGCACATTGAAGTGTTATATATAATCTTATTTTTTATCTGTTTAAATTATTCTTTTTTATCTCATTTATCAAATTTTAAACAAATATTTCAGTTTTTTCCTTAAATTTGAGGAAATAAATTTTAAAGTTTTTCTCTTTTTAAATAAATTGTGCATATAAAATTAAAAATTGAAATATATTTTGTTTACAGATATTTGCTGGTATGATAAAATGCTATTTATTAACACAAACACAACATTTGTGTATGTTTACAACACGTCTGTTCACAATTCGCTGACCCGGATGCAGAATATCAGCATGGCCGCTGGAATTGCAATAGACTGGTTTGCGCCAAAATTGTATTGGTCCACTCCCGTGCAGCAGATGGTGAGCGTTATTTTCTGTAAAGTTTGTAGTGCAATATATTTTCAAAAAGAGAAAAAAATGAGAAAGATATAGAAAATAATCAGAATTCTCTTATTATAAAGAAATGGTCAAAATATAAGACAATACCGGAATTCATTTATTATTAAGAAATGGTCAAAATATAAGACAATACCGGAATTTACTTATTGTAAAGAAATGATCAAAAATGTAAGACAATACCATTATTTAGTTTCTTTAACATTTTGAAAACCATGCTAGTTTTAAATATGCAGCCAGACTAAGATTTTGAAAATTACAGTAAAGTAATTTGTTCAGTATTGTTTAGTTTTATTACAAAAAGTATACTTCTTTAGTTTTACCTCAGGCTAGTATATTTCAATCGCTTAATTAACTGTTTTCTAGAACACATTCAACTTAGTTAGCTCGTATATTTGATACCGCCTTGTATGCAAGCCATTTTTTTATTTCTTAGCTCAAATAATTCAGGATTGCCTTTATACGAAAGTTGCTTATATTCTGTCGAATACGGTAACAGTTTCATACAGAAATTCTTTCCGACGATGCCCGTTGACAACAGATCATCTCAGATCATAATCTCTTTGTTATTTTATCATTTTCTTTGACATATAAGATATTTCAGCTTCAGTTTTTTTGTTTGCACACACTATAATACATTTGTGCGGCAGTTTTTAAGTTAAGTTCGAATGCTGAAACATGCTCATCGTCCCTCTACCTCCCAAAACATGTTCGCTGCCCCTGTCGCCCAAAACAAATTCATTGTCCCTCAGCATTCTTCCACTGCCCCTTGAGGGGAGGTATCGACCCCGTTGAGAACCAACGGTTTAGATATAATTTGTTATTTAATATTTTTAAAGTATTTTAAAATCGTAAACTGACTATACAAAAATTCATAAGCCTGTAATTTTATGTAGCAAAACATAAGTATCTGCATATTTCCAATTTCTAGCAAGTAATTTTAAAAATTCAAAACTCAACCCTTATTTTTTTATTCTATTTATTACATTAGTATTAGAGAGCACTGGAACAAACATTGAAGAATCTGGCCGTTTCATTTGAGCTTGACATATGTATGCCAAGGACATATGATCGACGTAGGCATTACCTACCCCAGGCAAGAGGAAATACGTAAAGGATTTATTAGATTCTATAGGTTCATTATTTAAATTTTTTTTTATCTGATGCAAATTCAACATACGTGTCTTTTTTTATAACGTAAAAACATCTCTTGGCTGCATTTTTAATTTTAGGTTATAAGTAATATGGTAATAATGTAAAGCTTTTTCCCCTCTTCTTACTCGTGATATAATTGGAAACCACGTTCAGCTAGCAATCGGAAGATCAGGAATTCAAGTCCTAGCGAGGACATAGCTCGTCTTTCCCATTACCTGCAAAAAAAAAAAAACAAAAAAAAAAAAAAAAAAAAAAAAAAACTACTGACTCTACAATATGACATGCCATTTCTAAATAAATAGAGTAGTTTGCTCATTCTACTCGCAGGTTTGAGAACAAAAACTATAGCATATTGTATAACAGTCGTCAATCAACATACTCAGGTTTCTTATCTTTAAGCAACATACTCAGGTTTCTTATCTTCTTATAATTAAATACCTGTTCAATGATCAGAAATCTGTATCTGGATGGTATTCAGATTAATGAACTCCAGATAATTTAACAAAATAATGATTTCACAAAGCATTAGTATTTAGAGAAAATAATATTTTAGATGTATAAATGTTTTATATTTTTTAACTTAAAGCTATACTTGGAAAATAATGTAACTTCATTTTATGATTTTAGAGAATTTTTATGAAATACTGTAAATATATATGTTAAATACGAGAAAAGGAGGATTTCTTCTTAAAATAAATTACTCCTAAAGTATGTTTGGCTAGAAATTATATTTGAGTTTTATTTAATTCTAGAAAAATTTATATTATTTTTATCTATATTATATTTTTATTTTGATTCACGTCACTGTTAACTTCTTAATTCTCAAATTGTTATGCTGACAGGTGTGAGTTAGCCTGCTTGAGCAAATATACTACTTGTATTTCATATATAGTTTGATTGAAAAAATGACTTCAAGTTCTATTTCTTCAAATATCAATCCTTGTCATGTTCATCCGACTATAAAGTGTCTTAAAACAAGGCAAAGGATTTTATGAGAATAGTTTTACACTGTAGATTGGAGGGTATTGTAAAAATAGAACTTTAATTTTTATATTGTTCCTGAAGAGCGAAAATTCCTGAAAATCATTATAAATTAAGTGACGCCTCATGCTTAACTGGATTTCAAACATTAAAAAATTCCTATCTTTACAAGACAAATCCCCAGAGGTATTATTAATAAATTATTTCAAGCGACCAGCTGCACATATAATAACAAATATTGCTCTTCTCAAGGCAGAGTCATTGACCGCTAAAACGAGTAAAATATGTCTTTTTGGTTGTTCCCTAAATTTGTTTTCAAAGTCTTGCACTACCTCGGTAACCGAGAAGGAAAAGTGGTCTTAAGATATTCTTTCGCGAATTTTGTTCATAGAGGTATAGAATGTTTTTGTTTTAAACTTATTACAATATGATTACTATTTTACTAACAGGAATTTTTAACTCTGGAGGCGGTTATATAAAAGATAAGAAAGATTTTTATTTTGGAAAAGTTTTACAAAACTTGATACTGATAAAATTATCTACTTTATTATAGGGAAAATTCCAACTGAAAGTACTAACTCGAATCTAATATATAAGGAAATAATGCCTGTAGTCACGTTTTTCAACATCCTGTTGTAATATATACGAAAGTGCAAAGCACTTTCGTATATATTACAACAGAACCGGATTAATTAACAATCAGAACCGGATTAATTAACAATCAGAACCGGATTAATGAAACTTAAGATTAACAGTTCTTCTGGGTTACTTTACGCTAACGTTTAGACTATAATTTGGTAACTTTTTTGTCTTTGACAGATACAAATGAGAAGCAATTGTTTAAAATTAATTTAACATTGCATTTAAAGTGATTTTGATTGCATTGGTATTTTGCTTCACATTACTAAAAAAAGGTAAAAATTATTTTTTATCTCATTTTGTCGTAGATTTCTAGATCTAACCTTGATGGAAGCCAACCAGAACCGCTTCCGATTTTGACCATGGCGAAGGAAATAGCAATAGATTCTGTAAATGGTTACCTTTATTGGGCAACTTCCCACAGTGTAGAAAGATCGCACCTAAATGGGGCGGATCATTTCATTTACATGAAGAATGCTCTCTTTTCAGGAGCACATGGTATATTTTATTCTTGTATTTTTTAAATTAAGTTTTTTCGCTCGCTTTTTAATATAATTTTTATCTTTCGCTTCTAGACAGTGCATGTGATGAGGCGTTAATTTTAATAAAATTGCTTAACAGTAAGTTCCTAGTATTGGTGTGCCTTATAAACCATACTTAATAAAATATTTCATGACGTGACTCATCCAAATAGCCCATGATAAAATAAGCCGCGACGAAAAAAAGCCCGAGATATAATAGACTGAATATCTTATATCTAGTTTCAGTTCTAAAATATTTTTATGCTAATATCGACTTTTTATATCATTTGACAAAATTCACATACAGCTTCAGTATTTAAAAGTAAATAAAATATTTTCTATACATACTTTTTAAAAATAAAAAAAAAGGCCTGTAAGACAAGTAAAAACAACTAAATCAGTGATTCTTGACACTCATATTTCGATAATTGCGACGACAGATAGGGATTTGCTCAAAACATGTGAATCTTCTGTAAATTGTGTAACAATTGTAATTTAGAATACAGTCCCTGAGGATACTACACTTTTGGATGCCACAGTAACCTGTAAGTGGAATTACTACTGCAGAGTCGTGGCTTTTTGATGTTGGAGAAGTAAAACATGAGCCATGCCCTCGCCGAGACTCAAACACAGGACCTCTCGAAAACGCGTCAAGTATGCTTCCAATTACATCACGAAGGCATGCAGAATGGAGGCAGAAAATACCTTATACTCTTCCCCTTATAGAGTCATTAGGTTAATTGGAAGCAGAAAAGATGAAAAATATGCAATCGCCTTCGCCGGGAATCGAACCACGGACCTCTGGAATACCGGCACAGCGTACTACCCGTTACACCACGAAGGCACGCTAAGAAGGCGGAAGAAATACCTTATATACTTCCCTTTTAAAGGGCGACTGGGGTTTTTAGGGGACCCAATCGCCAACTCCTGGGTGTGGAGAATTATCATCCAACATTCTTTTAGTCCTACTCAACTTGGTTAAGCTTGAAGTAGAATTTATTCTTGAAGATATTCACTCCAGTAAGATTCCAGGTAGAAACAGAGCAGCACCGCTGCAAACGAGCTTTTCAGTTGTGTACAGATGAGGGGTAATCGGCGCAATCGGCGAGGTGAGTCTGTAGAAATATTAGGTATATTTTTGGAAGCCAGAGATGAAAAATATGCAACCGCCTTCGTTGGGAATCGAACCACGGACCTCTGGAATACCGGCCCAGCGTGCTACCGTTACACTCGAAGGCACGCTATGGAAGTGGGTGAAATACCTTATATACTCTCCTTTTTAAAGGGCGACTAGGGTTTTAGGGGACCTAGTCGCCAAATCCTGCGTGCGGAGAATCATCATCCACAACCTTTTTAATTCGGGCGCACATGTAGAGTAATTAGGTTAATTGGAAGCAGAAAAGATGAAAAATATGCAACCGCTTTCGCCGGTAATCAAACCACGGACCTCTGGAATACCGGCCCAGCGTGCTACCGTTACACCACGAAGGCACCCTAGGGAAGTGGGAGAAATACCTTATACCCTTTTAAAGGGTGACTGTGATAAGGGGACCCATCCTGGTGGTAACGAAGTGTCGTCCACCAGCTTTTTGTTCGGGTACCACTGTAGATTCATTAGGTTTTTTGGAAGCAGGAGACGTGAAAAATGGGCAATGCTCTAGTCGGGACTCGAACCTAAACCTCTCGATAACTCGCCGATTTGGCTACCGTTACACCACAAAGGCATGCTGGAAGGAGAAAGAAAGTACCTAGTATTACTACGGCACCCTATTTCACAATGATTGTGAAACATTTCGGCCAGCATATGTAAATATGTGTTCAACATCAAATGTAAACGTGTTTATTTTTTATGATACATTTGAGTGCAAAGACGTAATTACTAACTGATATATACGTCGCGGCACACTTTTACATCGTCTGCATATATTTATATACTAAAAAATTTAAAACCCTTCCAGTTCAGAATCCTTTGAATTTGGTTTATTTTGCCATGGGCTACTTTTTGGGACCTTTTTTTTTGTCATGGGCTATTTTATCGTGGTACTATTTTATGAAACTTGCAAAATTATTTGTTATTATAATATCACTTTCTTAATATATTCTACAATACGTCAATTTGTTTTCGATGTGTTCAGAAAATTTGAAAGTTTAAAATTTTCATGATTTCCTTCACTAGAATTCACATTTAAATGGCCTGTCATATCAAACAATACTGATAGAGAACATTTTTAACAAAAAATCTTTTAAGTAGTTTTATGTAAAGTAACCAGATTAGCTCTCGCATATTCTTTATTTAGAACATTACTGTAAATTTTTGAATTTAAGTATTTTTCCTTTAAATATTTTATTTCCTGATTAATTTTCTTTGTTCTTTTAGTTATGGGTTTAACTTTGGATTTTGAGAGGAAAAATGTGTATTGGATGGTTCGAAGTTACGAAGGCTCAGTCATGTATCGTTCCCATTTGGCTGGTCAAAATGCTGAATTGCGCAGTCTAGAGAAACCGGAAGTTGTTGGTCTTCTTTCCGAAAATGGAATGTATGTATCTAAAAATATTGTGATAAAAAATGGGTTGTAAAATAAAAGGACACAGTCTTAATTTACTTGGTTTTTAGCATTATTGCTTAATCAAGAATTAATAAAGTTCTCGTTTAGTGATATAGGAACCTGTATTTATCTTCTTTATTACGTAAAGAGCTTCTATGTACTATAATTTAATATTACAATGAATTAAATACACGTAATATTTATGAATATCTGTTACACAAGGTGTCATTTATTTCAAATTTTTATATATGTCGAAAATTTGCAAAATCCTAAATATGCATTTTGAAACTTAATTAACATGTAAATATATAAAAAAATGTACTTTGAGGCTCAGATGTTCTTTTTATTAATTTAGACATGGGTCTATGTGGTACTTCAGTAACAGACTGTTTTGGCTTCATGAAAAGCTGAAAGCATTTGTAAGTGACATAAATGGTAAAAATTTTGCTGGCGTAGAAGGTTTAGGGCTAAATGGGTTGACGTCACTGGAAATAATTGATTCATCTTTGCAGCCACATCCAGGTAAGCATTTTACTTTTCATAAGTAATCTTGCAAGTTTTAGCGTTGATTGACTTTGTTAGTTACTTAAGTATTTTTTATTATTATTTAGAAAGTATAAACGAAGTTATAATGTCTTTCAAGATAGAAGAAAAACATACCAAAATAAAACATAAATTAGGCAACACAGCAACCTTCTGCTTGGTGTAAATTTTAACCAAGACTCCATCGATTTCGAGGGCGAATAGGCGCATGTCCCTCATCGTCAGGAGCAAAGAAATTCTACAAAGGAGGAGCTATATTTAAACCAAACGGAGAAAAGTAAAACGTGCGAGAAGGTAGCGCCACCTGTTCATAGAAACAGAAACATGAAAAATTAAGTTAATATTATTTTGAAAGTGCTCAGAAGAACTGGATTAGAATTGAAGTTATTAACTTGTAGAGTTATTTGAAAATTTTGAAGCAGGCGATGTGAAAAATGCGCAATGCGCTGGGACTCAAACCTGGACCTCTCGGAAACGCGTCGATTGTGCTACTGTTGCACCACGAAGCATGCTGAAAAGAAGTAGAAAATACCTTGTAGAGACATTAGGTTATTTGGAAGCAAAAGAGATGAAAAATAAGCAACCGCCTTCGCCGGGAATCAAACCACGGACCTCTGGAATACCGGCCCAGCGTGCAGAACCACTACACCGCGAAGGCACGCTAAGAACTAAGAAGGCGGAAGAAATACCTTATATACTCCCCTTTTAAAGGGCGACTGGGGTTTTTAGGGGACCCAATCGCCAACTCCTGGGTGTGGAGAATCATCATCCAACATTCTTTTAGTTCAGGCGCCACTGTAGAGACATTAGGTATATTTTTAGAAGCAGGGGAATTGAAAATGAGCAACGCCTTCGCCGGGAATCGAACCACGGACCTCTGGATACCGGCCCAGATGCGAACCACTACACCACGAAGGCACGCTAGGAAGGCAGGAGAAATACCTTATAAACTAAACAAGATAAATCTTTGTGAATGTGAAAAGCTTCAGGGAAATCCAGTTCTCCAACTGAAGGAGCTTTTTGGATAATTTTTGCAAAGCAAACTCTGATTAAGCTCTCAGTTAGGATTAGATTTGTTTATTTCCTCTTTTCGGACATAAGATTCGTATTCCTTGATATGAAACTTTAACGCTGTTTTAGTTAGGCTGGTATATCTAAAATGGTATTTTTTGCTTAGCCGGTTAACATGATTTAGTACGGGGAAGGAAACAAACAGAAAACGGTTTATAGTAAACAATAGTACTAAAATTAGATTCATTGCGCATTATAAGAATATCAAGAAAGGGAAGTGGATTGCCAGTTTTAATTGTTTCCCTGAAATAAATCTTGTCTCCATATTGAAAGATTATCCGTGGGTAATCCGCTGAGACCTGTGCTTTCTTGACATTTATATGCACTATTTTGAGGACAAATTAATTGATAAAATATCTTTCTATGTTTTGATTCGCTACATAGTCGACACTTTCGCGATTTTTGTTGGTAATAAAAACTGAACTTTTTGTTGGCTTTTATCTTTTATAAATTGGATTAAACAAGCTATCCAGTTAACTTTTGAAACTGGATCTGACAATATCATAAAACTTGTAAGGGGCGCTGGGCGAAATGAACCTCAGGAAGGGAACAATGAGCTGAAGACTTTTGGAAAACTAGGCACTAAATGCGCACATAGTTTTGAATTGAATGGGATTTCGGTCAAGAAAGAAAAAAATTATTATATGTTATTTTTGCTTTAGATGTTTGTAATATGTAGATAAATTTAGGCCTTTTTCTTATACATACATACATGCTATGTAACTTAATTTATCATATTTACACTGGTTATCATAAAGTAAGGAAAAATTACAAAAATCACTATTACTGAAAAAGTTACATGTAGAATTTAATGAAACTTACCCCCAATATACAACACATAGTAAGGCATCAAATAACATAAAAAGAAATCACCAGACAAATATGGTAGTATAGAAATTAGCACATGTATAAAATGAACAAATCGAAGGTGTCAGTTTGGTATAGGAAAAGTGCCTTCAATATTGAATATGATCGCCTCTAGAAGCAATACAGCACATACAGCGATGTGTGATGCTTTCAATTATGTGGTCTATCAGTTTTATAGGAAGCGAGAGCCATTGCTCTTGCAAAGCAGTTGAAAGCACGACAAGGATCTGAAAGGGGGGTTGAGAGCAGCTAGACGTGTCACTAAAGCATCCCAAACGTGCTTGATAGGATTCAAGTCCGGGGATCGAGCTGGCCACTCCATGCGCATAATTGTTTCCTGTTTAAGATAATTATCTACGATGCGAGCCCTGTGTGGTCTTGCGTTGTCGTCCTGTAACAGGAAAGCACCACCTATTGCATATGGGCGCACATAAACATCAAGAATGTCATCTCTATAAATCTGAGCATTCACGGTTCCCCTTGGAAAGACATGGAGGTTTGTGCGTCCACCCAAAGAGATGCCACCCCAAACACAGACACTGCCCCTTCCGTATGCATCTCTTTCACGGATGTTTGACGGATGATAACGGGTGCTAGGTTCTCTCCATATCAAATAACGCCTACTATCGCTTTCTAGACTAAACCTGGACTCATTTCTAAAGAGAACCGCCCTCCATTGATCAGGCGTCCAGTAGACATGTTGTCTGCCCACTGAAAATGGTCTCTCTTATGGCGTGACGTGAGCGGCACACAAATGGCTGGTCGCCTCGCATACAGACCACCTTCTTGAAGTCTTCTACGCACAGTTGACGTTGATACGAACCTTCCTGGCAGCAAGGGGTATCTAAGAAGAGTCGGAGTAGCGGTTCTATTCCTGCGTGCACATAATGTCAAATATCGGTCATCGGCGCTCGTCGTAGCAGATGGCCGTCCTTGGCGGAACCTCTTAGTGGTTCCGAATCTGTGGTTTGAAATTGCCTCCAAAGTCTATGAACCACAGAAGGACTCACATTTAGCCATCTGGCCACTTCGTTTTGACTTTGTCCTGCCTCTAGTCTCCCAATGGCCTCCATCGCAGTTCTGCAGGCAAATGATGCCTGGAGGTCATTGTTACGAATTGGCTATCTCAGATTTCTGATGTTACTGAGACAGTGAAATATGTGGGCTTGCTCTCAAACGTGGACTTTTATGCTCCTCGCTGATGACGTATTCCGAAAGCAGCGCCACTGATTTGAATATCGCAGTTTTACTCAGCTACTCTTACTTCGCAACATATTCAAATTTTACACGGTTTGCCTTTATTTTTGAGGGAGTTGTCGCTATTTTTGTGATTTTTCCTTAATTTATGACAACCAGTATCGTTTAGTTTTATGAACTCTTAAACTAGCTAAATTTAACGCTCTTTTCAAGTGCGTAAAACAGTATTTTGTTATATCTGCAGAAGGCTATGATGAGGACACAGTCAAAGTCGTCCCACATTCAGTTTACGAAGATGAGATTAATATTGAAGGCACATCGGACAGTTTCAATATAACGTGGAGTCCTGTTTTATCTGTGAACTATGGGACTGTGTTCTATGAAATAAGCGTAGATGATGGCGATGAAACCTATAATTTGGTAAGAACCAATAAGTTGTTTTGTAATAAGATTGCTTCTTTCACACGTAAGCCTTTTAAATTGTATAACTTGTATGAATATAATGCAATCTCCTGTTTAACTTCAGGTTACAAGTGACACAGTCTTTGTATATCCTACTATGAAATATCTGTCGCCATATACCCTGCTAAAAATAACGATAAAGGCTTACACCTATTGGGCTTCGTCGAGGCAAACATCAGTATTTTTGCATTCACCTATGTCAGGTATTTATAAACCATATTCTTATTTGAAATGTTCTGAATATCAATATTTACATCTTATGTTAGCCATAGGAAGTATGCACTTCTCCACTTTCAAAGCTCTATGTCTGACTTTGTCTATTTCTAAACTGAATTTCATTTTATTAGTTTTCAGGTATTATAAGTACAATAAAAATTAAATTCTTGCATATTCAAGAATTTGCTTTTTAAAATGATTCTTGTTTGTTAAAGTAAATACCTTTACTATATGTATGTATGACATAAAAGTATAATTTTCTTTAAATCAAAATTTTTCTGTCCAGCTAACTTGTGAATACGTTGTGTAAATTAACTTGTTAATTTTAGTTTACAAATTTCTATTTTAATATAACTTTGTCAGGTTTAAAATAGCTGCTTCGGCGGAAACTGGGATACTTACCTTTTCTTTTCTTTGTTTACGAAGCCATATATAAATACTTTTGCTACAGTATCGCAATGACAACAACTAAAAAAAAAAAAAACAAAAAAAAAAAAAAAAAAAAAAAAAAAACATTATAAAAACAAAAAAAAAAAAAAAAAAAAAAAAAATAAAAAAAAAAAAAAAAAAAAAAAAAAAAAAAAAGAAAAAAAAAAAAAAAAAAAAAAAAAAAAAAAAAAAAAAAAAAAAAAAAAAAAAAAAAAAAAAAAAAAAAAAAAAATAAAAAAAAAAAAAAAAAAAAAAAAAAAAAAAAAAAAAAAAAAAAAAAAAAAAAAAAAAAGAAAAAAAAAAAAAAAAAAAAAAAAAAAAAAAAAAAAAAAAAAAAAAAAAAAAAAAAAAAAAAAAAAAAAAAAAAAAAAAAAAAAAAAAAAAAAAAAAAAAAAAAAAAAAAAAAAAAAAAAAAAAAAAAAAAAAAAAAACTCTAAAATTCAGTAAAGTAAGTTAATTTATTTTCAATTCATTTCCAGTTATTCTCTTAATAAATGAAAGGAATCGTTTTAAATTTAAAAGGTCACTTAAATTTAAAAGGTCACAGCAATCTTTTACAAAAATAATATGTATACAAAAATTTTCCTAAAGTAAAACCAAAGAAATAATTTAAAACATTTAACAGTCAACTAAATCTTCTGAGACCGAGTTCAATAGTGATCTACAAGATGTGAGAGATTTCTTTTACTTGATCTCTTTTTAACGATTAGCCAATGATGAAGTAAATTCAAAACTATCTACTTTAAAATTTAACATTTTATTTTCAGAAAATAGTAAACGAAGACCTATGTAAGCGTTTGAAATCTAGAAGCACTTTTTTTGCTTTTGTATTTAAAAAACATAAAGGAGTAACATAGGAGGAATGAGAACAGGGGAAGAAAAATGACCGTAAATGCTTAAAAAGCTTGAAAGAAAAATTTATGAAGTCGTACCGTCACCTTTCGCTAATATATGGAAAAAAAGAAAAAAAAAAGGAAAAATAAAAAAATTCCATGTTAAAGCAGAGAAAAGGAATAGTAAAAAAGGTATGAATTTACACGTTTAATAACTGCATACTTAAGAATATATATGCAAAGTTTTCCCCTAAGTATCTGATTCAAATTAAACATTTAAATTATGCTGACAAAAGAAAAGTATTTTACTGACTTCCAGACTCCTTTAACGATGTGACCAACTCTTATTTTCTAACACAAATTTCATATTCTTTAGACCAGAATCTCAAAGCCAGATTTAAGATTTTTTTTAATTATTTATTTTATGTCATATTTCATTTTACTTTCTGCTAACGGTTTTGGCAAGATCCCCCAGGTATAAAATGTTGTATATGACCCTCAGGAATTCATAACGAGAATGGAGAGTATTTCAGAAGAATGAAAGAATAGATAATATTTCTTCCAGTTTTGAAATATTTATGATAAACGCCATTATTACAAAGGGAGGAATTTTATTAACAACACAATCTGAAGTGGATAGATACAAACTTCTGTCAATAACAATCACCTTCAAAATATTCAATTACGATTGTAATGCAGAAAGCGGGGAAGATTTATAGACTAATTAGGGAAAAGGGATATTGTAAGAAACACCAGTTTTATATGCATAAAAGTATATTTCAGAGTTAATTGAATGTGGCCACAGAGAAACCAAAAGGAACTGGACAATTCTGCAACAAAAGTAAATCAAGTGTGAGAATCATTGAATATAATACTAGATGATACCGTAGGTCTCGCAAAAAATATTCTCTGAATAAGCTAATACACCACACTATAAGACTTCTCTGATACCAGATTTTTTGACTTAGGCAGATTTAAGCTCCAACTAATAATTGGACAGCAATAATACAGGATAAAATTGGGAGAGGACCTTCTAGACCTCTATACGTTGTAGGGTTTATATTTATTTTAACTAACATTTATTTTAAGTTTAAACTATCTTTCCTGTCAAGCTTTACTTTCCCCTGGAATTGCCAATGCCAGAGTATGTAAATTTTAGTAGAACGCGCAAGGATTCAAATTGTCAGCGGAAGTAATCGGAGTTAAATAGAAGGGAAACGAGTTCGAAAGTGTGCTTTCTTGCTTCACGAGCGGGGAGGGGAGGTGGCTAGTTAGAAATTGAAGAACCACCGCGTTTCGGCCTGTGTGCTTGCCTCGGCAGATTGTTAATCTTTCAACGTAATATTCAGAAGTTTGCTGAATTATCAGCGGTATCTTAGAACGCGGTGAGGTTAGTTACGTTTAGAGAGCCTCGTAGTTAGTCCACTTGTTACTATTCTTTTTTTTTTTAGTTTCTTTATTTTTATTTTACCGCCGGGTCGGCGTAGTTTGTGAGCGTCAAGAGCACGCATTTGTAATTTCTAAAGTTGAATAAAAAGGGATTTAAGCCCTTCTCAAGACTTTGTCTACTTTCCAGTTCTCAGCAGTCACCACTATTGTTGCGTGCAGGTTGGAAGCGCGCAACATTACAACGTAATACAACACAGCGTTACAGAATATTTAATTAGCTTGTATCATTATATTCTTTCTTTAATTGCTAGAAACATTCTGCTTAAAATCTTTTGTCAAATGCTAATTTTGACGTGAATCCTTTTATACGGGCAACAGACTGTAGATCTGAAAGTAAGACTTATGGAAAGTTTAAAATTTTAATTCTTGGTGACAAAATACAATCAGCTCTGAATCAACCGGGTTACTGGCGAGGACGATCCCCGCATTTAACGTGAAACCACCTTTAATCTTAGGCAGTGAAAAAGGTTCAGAAAAAAGACTTACATATACTTAACATACCTTTTAACAGAAATTACTTACAATTACTACTTAACATAAAAATGCTATCATAAAATGCTTGTATTTTCAAGCAGTTCAAATAAGAGAATTAAGTTAATTTAGCTGCATAAATGTTGGTTTGAAGTAGGAACTTTTCCATTGCACACAATAAACAAACATAGTCTCTTTAGATAAGACCTTTTAATCCATCCCATTTAATGGCACTGTAATCACAATGATAATATTTCTATATTAAACACTGTATTCAGGGGCAGATTTACGACGTGATGAGGCCCACGTCCTGGAACTTTGAGACCCTTCCCATTAAGGCACAGTATATGTTTGCTGTTTCCACACTTTTACACTGGTTTTCCTTGATGGAAAACTGACAAGTGATTTGAAAATCTTCTTGAAAGAGGGCTCCTTACAATTGTAACCTATGAAATCCGGTAAATCAATAACTTTTACTACTTTATAGCAAACATTGTATTTTCGTAACACTCAATCTTGATAGAATATTTTTATTCTTTTTTATCTTGAAGAGCATTTTGTATGACTTGATAGAATTTTGTCTTTGTAAAGTATTCGTAGTTACTTTGTATACTTTTATGCTTAAAGGAAATTTTATAGTTAGATCCTTGCTTTTCGTTTTTTTTATTATAATACTCTAATAGATAAATCTTTGATGAAAATTATTATAATATAAATAACTCCTTTTGTATTATGGTATAAAAACTAGAAAAGAACGCCGCTTTTGTTAAAAAAAACAGTTCATTAAAATTTCAAGCTCGCGTGTATCCTCGAGAAGGCAGAATTATTATATTATATGTATCTGAAACGAAACATCATATATTTACTGCAATTTCTTGTGTTGTATTGAAATAACAAATGTAACTTCTGAACTTATTAATTAAGTATGATATTTAGAGGGTTGTATTATGTCTTTCTTTTAGTTCCTTCCAAACCTTTGCATCCAAGGATTTTCATAACACACAAATCGTCACCTGTTCATGAAGACGAGGATATTATAGCAGATTTCCGGTGGTCTCGACCAGAAATGGCGAATGGACTTATTGTGAATTACAGAGTTATTTGCTGGTTGAATATAAGCTCTCTTAATGTAACACTGTGTGACGATATAGTAAACGGCAACACACTGCAATTTCAGAGTCACTCATTGATCCCCAATACTACTTATTATTTTCAAGTGAGTCACATCTTAGTTTTATGTTAAGAAATTTGTGGATATGTATTATAGCTTGTTGCACTTCTAAAATTTGTGATCGATAAATTAATGGGTATTTTTCGATTTAGAAATGTAAATTATAAGTGGATTGTTATGGCAGTAATTTTTGAAATGCTACAGTGTTAATCATGTGCGTTTAGAAGAAAGAAATGTTTTACTGTTTAGCAAACGTGTTTTATAAGATGGTAATTATAAATTTTCAATTAAAGATTAATTTACAATAAAAGTCCCCATTTCATTATTAGTCATCCAAGATTCAGACTGCCTCATAAGCATTTGCATATAAAAACATTTCTTTTTGCTTTCTATCATAACTTATCCATATAAGAACTAACATTAATTATTCTTTAAATTAAATTGAATGTAGGTACGAGCCATCACTGATGCAGGTGAAGGAATGCCAAGTGATACTGTGGAAGCTCAAACATCGATTGAACGTCCAGTACCTCAATTATTATTAGCAAAAACTGATGGAGTGAGGGTGGCCGATTTTGATTTTCACGAAGAAAAGCTATTGTATAGCAAAACAACTCATCCTGCTGCAATTGCTTATCTTGCTGAAGAGAAAAGAGTATTTTGGATGGAAGAAGAGGGTGCTATAATGGTCTCTTCATTAGATGGAACCAACATTTCTTTGGTATTTGAATTATGTCCCATTAGATATATTATTAAAAATAAATTCTTCAAGCTATAGCCTATTAGCTAAAGTGATGCTTCGGTTCCTTTGCAAAAAAGTATAAACACAAAGTAAAGATCCAATTGTAATGCAAAATGTAAAAACATAATATGTATGAAATACTAATTAAGAAAAATAGCAAAAGATGAAAGCTTAACTTGATTCAAATTTAAAAGTTAGAGTTTAAAATAAAGAAGATTAAATAAATGCTGAATTTACCATTTTTGATTTACAGATAAAACATTTGGCATCAGAGGGTACCTGCCTAACAGTTGACTGGGTTGGTAGGCAATTGTATTGGGCTGAAGTGAACAAGAAAGAAAGCTCTAGTAGTGTGTGGTCAGTGGATCTGAGCTACAATACGTCTCCTAAACAGATATTTAACCGCTCATCAATAATTAAAAGTTTAGAAGTCGAACCATTTTCCAGGTATATTTTTTTAAACGTGCATCTAGTTATAAAGTTTCTTATTGGTTATAATATTTTACAATTTGGAATTTATTGACATTTCTTTTATTCTTTTTGACCCTTTTCTAGGTATATGTTTTCAGTGCCTATCTAGTTATAATGTTTATTATGAGATTTAATATTTATACTCTTTTGAATTTATGAACATTTCTTTTATTCATTGCATGTTCATTTAGATTCCTTTTCATACCGCCCTTCCCCAAATTTGTATTTCTATTTTTTTAATTTTTGCTTTACTTTCAGATCTTTAATATGGACAATAGTGTCAGGCAATAGCTGCAGTTTAATGATTTCTGATGTCAGTGGATCCAATATACGTCCTTTTTTTTCCTCCCGGGCATTAGAGTATCAAACAAATAAAATGAAAGTTAAAAGAATGACGGGAAAGAATGTGTCATGCAACTGTAATCCATCAATTATGAGAGTCGGACAAGCTATGACAGTTGACAGCACAAATTCGTCGCGGCCTCAGATTCTATGGGTGGATGGAAACTTCGGACATATTTGGTCATCTGATATCAATGGATGTCATTGTCAACTTCTCATAAATACAACCGAGATCAATGTTAATGGTAGGTTTATCGAACAATTTAATTTATAGTCTCTTTTGTTAAAAGCTGCGTGTTAAGAAAATTACATATGTGCTTACTGTTATATTTTATACCATATATTTAAGGACTATAATAGCATTATAATTCAGAAGATATCTACCGTTTTTAATAGAAACACACAAATATATTATTATAAAGCCATTAGATCCTCCAGAGCGAGGAAGCATGAGAAATCAAGTATGCCCTCGCCGGAATTTGAATCGCACATCTTCCAGCTGCTAGGTAAACGTGCTGCCAGATAGACCACGAGGACACACAGGCGAGAATATAATAATTCCTTATATTATGACTAAATGTATTTTTATTTAAAAGTTAGAATTAAATAGCGACATTTTTTTCATTGTTAACTTCGATCGATACAAGAATTTTTAACTTCTTCGGTATTCAATGAAATGAAGTAAAACGATCTCTCTTTTGTATCTGAGTTAATTAAAAATTAAAATTTATACTTAAAAAATTGAGGGACTAGTTAGTTTTAAAAATAACCTCATTATTATAATTAATAGTTGCAATGTGGGAGACTTGCAAATTTCTCTTATTATAATCCAGTTATTCCATCTCATTTTATCCCACTTCTTGATATTGAGTATAATATTCTTTTTAAATTCTATCTGGTCTTTCAGTTTATTCATTTCTTTTAAATGGGTGATAAAAAACTGTAAATATCCCCCTTTCGTTTCATCTATAGAGTTGCTCAAATAATTTCTTATGAAGTAGCCTTCTTAATTATCATATTTATTGCAATTATATCTTCCTTTTATTCTCTTACTCAAATCAGTAAACGCCAAACTGCATTAGAATTTTTCTGAGGAAATTTAGTTCTATTCTTGAAATGAATTATAAGATGTTTAGCAGAAGTTAACCGCAGACCCTTTGACTTTATTGAAGGAGAATGAAAACTAATTTCAAAGACAGCTATGGTTAAATGACATCTACTAGAAATAAAAGGACAACACATTTTTTATAAATTTCAGTTCAGCTGAAACAAGAGAACGTTTGTAATGTGCACAATATACCTTTCGAGAGATTACTTGTTTCCAAAATGGTATTACTTGAAAGAAATAAATTTTGCTTTAAAATTGAAGTTGCCGATTTGCAAGGGCGCAGATAGCTATTCAAATAATATTTTTCAAACTGCTATTCTATAACGGCTTTCTTGAATTCGTTTTTAAAATATAAAACACACATTTCGGCCTACTGAGTCATTAACTACAACTTGGAGACTAAGATATTTTATTATTATGCAACGTGTAATAAACTGATAAAAACCTAAGACTTAAATATACCTTCTGTCTTTTCAAAGCAGTCAAAAGTTGTTATTGATCCTGGATATTATTTCAATAGCCGTGAATTTGCCTTTCCAATCTCTTCCCCAATATTCAAAGATTTGTAAAAATTTGTATTTTAGGAAATAGAAACATCTGACAGAGGCTGTTTACAGAACTTCATAAGAATTTAATTTTGCATTCTATAATTTTGAGGAAAAAACAGGCAAATTATAGAATGCTTATCGAATGATGAAGGACATATTGTTTCATCTACAGGCTACACAGATCTTTCGTCGTAGACTTAAGAGATTTCATTTGATGACTGACTGAAAGATAACTTCTTTTGCATAAGAAGCAAAATAGAAAAAGACTTATTTCACACAAAAATGATTACTTAATAAACTATAATGTCGCACAATAATAAAGGGAACATTCTGTTTCTATTATGAAGAAGTTTTTCCTACGGACAGCAGTAGTAACGTTCTATATTGTTACGTTATTTTCTTCCTTCGCGTTCGTACGGGATTCGTAGATTTGGAGTGAATAACGACGACACTTGATGAAGTATCGAAACACACTTTATTTACTAATTAATATAATAGATATTCTCAGGGCAGCTCCAAAATCACGTTGACAGTCGTTGAAGATCTCCTATAAACATGCTGAAACTCAGCGACACAGCCTCCAGGTTATCAGGCTATAACGGTGGAGACAGCTTTACTGCAAAGCACCAGGGTTCAGCTCCCGACTCTGCTCGGTCGTTCTCAGAACTCCACGTACTCTCGACACTCTTCATGCTACAACTCGCGATGCACTAGACGGCACAAAGAGCACAGCTCCCGACTCTTTGGTTCAGTCGTTCCCGAAGCTCAACACGCTCTCTCGACGATGCACTAACCGCGATACACTAAGAGACATTCTTTCGGTGCACTCGACGACCCACTCGCTGCCCGGCTGTCAACTCGATCGACTCCGCACGAACTAACTAACTCGAGACTAACTATCTCGCACTCTAGACAAGGCACTCCCTCTGACTGCGGACCAGCAGGGTTTATATAGCTTTCGGCTTGTGTTTGAGAACATTCTGGGCTAAATCAGTAAGAATTCATTTCAGAAGGTTCTCCATCCGTCCATGGCATATCGCCAATTTTGTCGCCAAATGGGCTATTTCTCGCCAAATGTGGCAACCCTGCCTTCCCTTCCCATTTTATGGCAATCCTAAACTTGCTTTGAAACTATCTTACCACACCTGTACATTTCATAACAATATCATTCTTTTGAAGAAAAATATAAAATGGACCTCACTGAACCAAGAATCAGACAAAAATTTGCAGTGATTGTGATCCTCTGTATCAACTACTATGCTGATACTCTAAAAGCAACCATGACTGCGGGTATTTTTGAATTCGAAATTCTGTCATAATGTGGAACAGAAGTTTGCAGAATTTTACTTGCTTCTTATTCGGTGGTTAAAGTTGGTGACAAAATGATTCTTGCAGACAGCATTGATACTTTAACGATTAGTATAATGACCAAACATTAAAACAATAACCCTATTAAATGCGTTTAAGTAAGTTTTAATTTTAACGATCTTTTAAATCTTTTTAAAAAGTGTACTCTTTTTAAAAACTGCATTCTTCGGAGATTTGATTGCATTATGTCCTTCTATTACTAAAGCACAAGAATTGCACAAGGCTCATTAAAATTGCGGTTAATCTATAAAATATTAAGCCTTTATATGCTTGCGGGAAATTTCAGCTTTTTAAAGAATGAGTCTTCTTCTGCAAGATTTTGATTTTAGCTGTAGCGGTAACAATAATGCTAAAATTCAACGTTAATTTTATAAAATGCAGAAGCAGGCCTCCTCCTGCATTCTCCAATTCAGTATCGGTAGTTTCGGTGATTTGTGGCTTACAGCGCAGAAGGAAAACACTATCCCAGTATGTTAGGAAATGAACTTCAAGAGATAAGAGGCCGCAGCATAGTGAAATATAGCACCTTAAACACAGCCTAGTGCTGTCTTGCATCAGCAGTTACGCGCTTGAATACTCGTTTTACATTGAATTATCTAAGCAGGTGGAATGAAAATGGTTATGGCGGAATGTTATGTGTATTCTCAAGTTACAAAATATTTTCATAGTGATTTGATAGACAGAAATATGTTGGCAAGAAATCGTAGCTGTCAGTACTCATAAAGGATTTAATTTGACCTGTCTTTCACTATTTCAACATAAGTTTGTCCAATGCTGCAAGACTACTTCTTCCATCTCAGTTTCAGTAGTATAGGAGAAAAGGAGGTTTTGTGTTTTTCTCCACATGTAACTTAAAAGTGATCCAGTTCCCCTTGAAATATATGCCACGAAGGCGTACTCCCTCCTTAAACAGAAATCCCACGTGTGCTTTGCCTCGTCTAAAATAATCTGAATCTTTCTACAATTTAAGCTAAAATATCCAAAGCCTTGTTACATATTGTTCTTGGAACTTATTACTCTCAGATATGGAGCACTGCTATACGCTCTGTTTTAATGATTAAATGTCAGTTAAACAGCCAAAAGGATCCTTTGGAACAATCTTAACTTTATGGAAAGAACATTTTCTTGAACTTTGCATTTAAACCGTAGCACGGTAATAATGTTACCAAAATAAGAAAATAAGCAAAATTACTTGATTAGCATTTTGACAATTTCCAGTTTTTCTAATTGACACTAAAGCTGTTCTGTAGAATGAATGGGGATATACTTGTATTTTGGGCGCGATAGGTTTTCATGAAATTTATCTCTGCATCGTATCTCTTTAAAATAATACAAAAAGAAATTAGGTATTTTGCTTAAATATGTGCAACATTCTTCTGTATAATTCTACTTTTAATTGAACTAAAATTCTATTTCAGGACTACCTCCAACCTCGTTAACTGTGGACAAATCTCACATATACGTGCTGTATTCGAATAAAACACTTGGTAAATTATATAGTATGAGCAAAGAAAATGAAATTTCAGAGTATTTAACTGAAAAGCCTATTTTCATGTCACACCAAAGAAACCCTATAACAGCAGAAGCAATTACAGGCATCCGAAGTATTCGAGCTATTGGTGGTCATTTACAGCCTTTCCCAAGTAAGAAACTATATAACTAAGACGTTTATACTCAGATAGAGACGAAATAAATTTATTTAAAATATGTAAAATTTTCTTAGTTCCGTGAAGTGAACTGGAATGTAAACATTTTCTTTTCTAGAGCGAAAAAAATGTATCTCATTTTTTTTCAGGTGCAGAATGTCTTATCTCAGAGCTCTATAATGAAACTGCTGAGCTAGTAAGCCGGACATCTTACAGCCTAACGCTATATTTACCTGAAGTTCAGAGACCTGAAATTTGCAACAAAATATCCTCCCCCACTGTTCTTTTCACAGTTTATTACGGACCATCAAATATTGTTTTGACCCATGAGTGCTTTGAAGAATCGGATAAACTGCTATGCAGTAAAATAGTGAGTAATTAAGTTTTATCATATTTTAAATGTGAAAAGTATGTGAACTCATTAAGTCAGTGTCAAATGCCACGTAAAATTATGAAGCTTTAATATTTGATACAGCGCCTTTAAAAATAACTGTAACTTTGGGAAAATGTGCACTAGCTTTTAAACTATGCCCTATTGCTCATTCTTGGAGCAAATGTGTGTTATTTCAAATTTATACACTTCTTTTCAAAAAGTAAATTTTCAAAAATGTTAATAATTCTTTTTATTTTTTCCAAATTTTTCTCTAGAGCACAGATAATAATACAGTAACAATTCGTGATCTACATCCTTTCACAAATTATTCAATACGTGTGTCAGTGAGGAATTACTATACAAGAGGAAAATCACTTTTTGGACCCGAAGTTATTTATCAAACAGCAGAAGGAGGTAAGAATTAAAAGCTACTGCATTAGTGACATGCCTTTACAAATATTTTTTTAAATTTAAATATGTATAAATACGCATATATATATATATATATTATAAATATATATAATATATAAATATAACGCATAAATATAATATATATATATATGATATGATACGAATGATTTGGAACTTGGTGGTGGTGTAATAAATGCATAGCGAAGGATCTTGACAAAATTAAGTTAGGCGAATCACCATCTTTATTTTTAGGCACATCAAAATCATTTCTTTATAGGCAATATACCTTTTGATCATAAGCAATTACAATAATTTTTATATAAAGCATAGCAGCGCATAGATGTTTTTGTAGGAGCATCTTGCCAGGAGGAAAGCGTAAGCGAAAAGTGACGCAGTAACCCAGAGGAAGAAGGGAGCTAGTTAAAAGTTTCAGTTCGAGTTAAAATAGTTTTGATTTGCAATTCGTTGATTGGTCAAGAGGTATCTATATTAAGCGTTACGTAGGATCTTATGATTAATTTGAATGACGCAGTTTAGACTTATAGCCCTATTTTTGAGACGGAGAGAGGAAGTCCCGAAATTAAATAAATATAAAAGAAGTTATAGCCCTATTTTTGAGACGGAGAGAGGAAGTCCCGAAATTAAATAAATATAAAAGAAGTTATAGCCCTATTTTTGAGATGGAGAGAGAAAAGTCCCGAAATTAAATAAATGTAAAAGAAGTTATAGCCAATTAAAATTAGAAGTTTGTTTTCATGTTTATCTTACACATTTCCCCCTTCAAAGAGTATAAGGTGGAGCGATAGAGAAGCCTTTCTGAGAGAAAAAGCATTAGAACAGCAAAATATGAGGGATATGATTTTGAAAATACAAACTATAAAATTAACTTTTGCACAGTTAAAAAATTAAAAGTCGTAAAATTTTGAAGTCAATAATAATTTTAAGCACTATATTCTTTTAAAGTAATTGCCCATTTTTAGAGCCTTATTAAGATTCGAGTCCAATCTGTAAAACGTTCTTGTTTCTGGAACACTCACATCATAATTTTTATACTTCAGGGAAAGATTTCTAAAACTTTTTACACACAGTATCACAATTATAAAAATTTTATATACCCATTAATCATTACGAATAAACATAAATCTTAAAATTTTGCACCATACTAATTTTAACTTACATAAGTAATATTTTATCATTTGTAATAGCATTATTGAAATTATAGTTTTTTACTTTTATTATTACATTTTACAAATTTCTTATTTTACGCAATCTGGAAGACCCCACAGCTTTCTCCTAGTACACACATATCCAGTTATTTAGGCATAACCACTTTAACAAACTCGTGTATTAAATTTTCATGATTGGTTAAGGGTTTCATTGGCAGTCACTTATAAAGGCCTCCGTTTCTTGTTTAAAGGCAACTGGTCTTTTGAACTTCACTATACATTCCATTTATTAAAAAAATGACACTCCATTATATGATAAAAATAAAATTCCTACGTAAAAAATTAAACAAAGTGAGAGCTTTCAAAGTTTACATTAGGAGTTTACATTCCTTTTACATGAGGAATGTAAAAGGAACAATTATGCAGAGGTAAACCAGGCCTCTGTTTTGAACCAACACTTACTCAATATACTTTATGTTTAGCACACAGTTATTGATAACTATAACATTAATTTACCATAATTCCAAGTAAATTTTAATACATTTTTGTTCTTAATTAAATTCTCATATAAATTTTATTACGTTTAATCAATTTCTTAAATCTTTGGGCCCACCAGCAGTCGAGCGGTAACGTAGCCGAGCAATGTTAGTTCGGTCCGAGGTTCGAATCCCGCGAACAGGCTGGCTGCATGGGCGTTTTCGTGGTTTTCCCCCATGTGTAATGTGTATACGAGCTGGTTTCCCTTAGAAAGTCCTCCACGATGGCATCCCTTCCTTCAGGCAGATAGTGCTCGAATGCTTTGCCGTAATGTAATAAATAAATCTTTGGAATTTTTATATAAATTTTAACAACTTTATGTTGCTTGGCTAATATATTAATGCTTTTTCTGTCACCCTTCTCTCCCGACCTTTCTTTTGAAGGAGAGGTATGTAATATATAACAAAATACAATGGCTGCTTTAAGAATAATTGGCGACCTCAAATCAACCATTCTAGATTTGGTGCTGTCCCCCTAAATTCATCTGTTCTTCTAAATTTCAAACAACGCAGTAAAATACTACACACATATATATTAGATTTTTATGTTTTGTAATGTAGAAATAACAGCATGCGAAGTCAATCGGTCATGTTTCAGATCTGTTGGCCACGTTTAAATAAACAGTGTCGAAAATCGTATAGATTACTTAATGTTAAAACGAAATGAAATGATTTTATATTCCATAAAAACAAAATCAAACATAATTTTAAAACTGCCATATTTATTATCATATGAAAGCTACAAATTTCTGAATATGAGGTCATATAACCTGGAATGTCTGCCTACTCACAGGATATCACTGTAATTTTAAAAATTCGCTATGTATACAATGAAACTTCATAACATGAATTTTCCATCTTATTACGCATATTCATATATACAATCTTATTACGCATATTCATATATACAATCTTATTACGCATATTCATATATATACATGGGCGCCAGATGTGTTTTAAAACCACGAGAATCTTTGTCACCGGACTCTTCATCTGCAAACACGATTATAAGCCGCAATTTACACCACTTAGTGACGTGATGATTGGTCTTTATATCTTTCATAGCAAAAACCAAAACAAATATGATGCCTTTCAATGTAAATTTTCGCTGAAAGTTGTGAGCACTACCATCGATGTTCTCATATTGACGCATGATAAGGATCGGCAGTTCGTCTTTATATTCGAGATAGTTAATCGGTTGAATAAGGCTTGTTATGTTGGCGGCAGAAACATAACACAAATGTTTTCCGCATTAAAGTATTCAGGTTATAAGTTCATAATATATTTTTTAAGCCCACAGGCCTAAATTTCGGATTTAAATTTAGACTTTGGAAAGTGCCGTTATTTTGATTTTACCGGATAATTGGGTGCTGTTACAAGAGATTTTATTGTATACATTTATACAGATAGATATACATATACACAGATAGAGAGAGGGAGTAGGAGATACAGATGTAGATATACACTCAAGAGCCAAAACATTATGACCAGCCCTACATTTTGCGATGAATGCGCCTGGATGATGTGGAAGGCGCGTGATCCTGTGGAAGTGGTATTTAACTGCTGCTGGAGAGTCTGAAGAATCATTCTTTCACTTACTTCTGTGTGTGATGGAAAAGGCTGCGGATCTAAGCGACTTTGATAGAGGGCAAATTGTAATTGCTCGAAGGCTCGGAACAAGTATTTCCGAAACTGCACGACTCGTGGGTTGTTCCCGATCTACAGTTGTTAGTACGTATGAAAAGTAGATGAATGACGGTGAAACCAGCAGTAGACGACATGGTGTTGGACGTCCACACGCTATCAAAGAAAAAGGTCGTCGGAGACTGTCTCGCATGGTGAAACAAAACTGGAGCCAGGCAGTGGCTCAGCTGACAGCCGAATACAATGCAGGGCCAAGTAGAAAAGTATCGGAGCACACTGTCTAGCGGACACTGTTGGATATGGGGCTACGCAGCAAACGTCCCACTCGTGGGCCTTTGCTGACCAAGCGTCATCGCCAACTGCGCCTGCGCTGGGCCCGGGAACATCGCGACTGGTCCATGGATCAGTGGGAGAGAGTTGCCTGGTCAGATGAATCACGGTTTGTCATTCATCACGCCGATGGCCGTGTCAGGATACGCCGTTTTCCAGGCGAACAATTGCTCCTTCAATGCACAGTAGGTCATACACAGGCCGGTGGTGGCGATATTATGCTCTGGGGGACGTTCTCTTGGGCGTCTCTGGGACCCGTGGTTGTGGTAGAGCAGACCAGGAAATGCTACAGGGTATCTGAACATCATTGCGGACCAGTTGCACCCTTACATGGCCTCTGTTTTTCCAGCTGGAAATGGAATGTTCTAACAAGACAACGCCCCGTGTCACAAGGCTACAATTGTGTTGGAGTGGTTCCAGGAACATGATGCTGATTTCCATTTAATGTCCTGGCCGCCTAACTCACCGGATCTCAATCCGATAGAACAAATTTGGAATGTCATGGGACGGCAGCTCAGAGGTCAAAGACCACCAATTCGCAATATCTCGGATTTGCGTGACCATTGCTACAACATCTGGTACAATCTGTCTCCGGCCATCTATCAAGGACTTGTGGCATCCATGCCAAGGCGGGTTGAAACTGTGTTGCGCGCCAAAAATGGCCCAACTCGTTATTGACAGGTGGTCATAATGTTTTGGCTCTTGAGTGTATAATTAGCAGACATTGTGAAAACCTAATTCTACAAAATTAAGTTAAAATAGCAATTTTTTTAAATACGCAGTGTGCGCAAAGTACGGTATTATGTGTATTGTTAATATCTGGAATAGAAAATAAATTAAAAAAATTAAATGTAAAAAATATAAAACAAAAGAAAAAATTGGCTACATTAGCAAGACTCGAACCGCCCTAGACTTAGAAGTACCTAAATTTTAATCTAGAGGGATTTTCCATAATGAAATAATTTTAAAATTTAGAACTTAAAAAATTATAAAAATAACTTATTTATTACAAATAGAACAGGAAATAGTCTCACTGGCATTGGCATTAAGTGCATTAACAGTAAAAAATATTGAGTGGGTAGCGTTTCGAAGGAACACATTTTCTAACCAAATATGACAGGTTATTAGAGCTTAATTTTAAATATATACTTGCGGACATTATATACAATAATCTTCTCCCACTCCACATCAGAACAATTTATTTTACCCAAATACAAATATTATATCCATTCCGAAAGATAGAAAAAAACACAAATTTACCCAGTTTCAAACTCTCATGTTAGTCTATGGAATAAACGCAACTGCCAAATATGACGGCAGAAATCACACCGCCACATGCCAAAGAGACGTTGCGAAACCAAGATTCTAATAAATTAAATCAACACATACAATACATGCGTAAATATAATTAATATAAAATTAATCCAGAAATAAGGTTCCAGTCTAAAAAAAAATTCCAATAACCTTTCCAATCACATATATACGCAATTCTTTGCATCCACATACATACTAAAGTTCAGCTTTGATTGCAATATTTCATAATAGGAAAAGCATGTTTATAATTTATTTACGCTTATGTATAATTAAATGTATAATTTTACACGAAATATAAAGAAAATTGACCTCCCTCTTGTATTAAAATTTAGTTACTTATATGTCTAGCATGGTCCCGTTCTTGCAAGCGAAGACAATTTTTTACAGTAAGACCCCGCTTAACGCTGTTTCGTTTAGCGCTGTTTCGGTTTAGCGCTCTTTTATTTCAACCCGGGGATTCCACGAAATCGCTCGCAGCATACGGGGATTCCCCGAAAATTATGCAGCGATAAGGTTTCAAATACATATCCGAAAGAGTGTACTTGTATTTCTTGTTGGTGCGGTATTGTACAGACATATTTTTTTAGGGGTAAATGTGGAAGATGTGTCGAAGAGAAATAATTCAAGAAGCAGCGACTAGTCTTTCTAATGATGAGCTCAAGGAATTAACTGAACAAGAAGAAAACAAAAAATATTGACAGCAGTGATTCAGAAGAAGAGCAAAAAGAACTTTCGATGGCGTTTGTTAAAAGGAATTTGTCTACCATAAACTGAAATAAATGGATCAATTCTTTGAAAAATGATCCGAATTTGACAGGAGCTCAAAAGTAAGGCGTGGTGTTTATGAAGAACTTTTAATAGAGAACAACGCAAAAGAAAAAGGCAAAACAACATTAGATGCTTTTGTCACAAAAAGGGCAGAACACTGAAAACGCGGAAGGCTAACTAAATATGACTGACTTAGAATTTTATTTTTTTTTTTTTTTTTTTTTTAAGAATATTCGTTTGTTATTTATATTTGTTTTTATTTTTGCAAGAAAGAAAGAAATAATAATGTGGTATTAATTTGGGCTTTAAGAAATAAATGTTTGGTTTTATTTTCATTAAAAAAACATACTTTTTAAATTTAATACCTAACCAATTTCCTAGCCATCTTCCCCTAACCCCAATATTTACATGTAAAGATAGCCTTGTTTAGCGCTGTTTCGCATTACGATCTACTTTGATGGAACGTATCCCCCGCGTTAAGCGGGGTCTTACTGTATTTAATTTTGAATGTACAGATTTTATTGACGCACAACTGTATTTTGTGCAGACTGCATATTTTAAAAATTGTTATTTTAACTTCATTTTATCGAATTAGTTATTTTGATCATTACTGTATGCAAATTATTTTTATATTTATCAAGAAATCTCATATCTTTGCTTAAAATTAAAACTTGTAAGTACTTAAATGTTACTCTTCCTCATTCATAATCCTGTCAGTATCATAATGTTGAAGACATCACTTAAAATCTAAATCTTATCAAATATAAAGTGTTAGCACATGGTATTAGCGTGCTATCTTCTTAGTGAGCTACAGATTTCTTTTTAACAACACGTGCTAAAAATTAATTATCCGGGACTTTCCATTGTCATACCTCCTAACACATAAAATAATTTTGTTTCAGTCCATATATGACCAAATCTATTTTAATGAGATTTTATATAATAAAAAACTATCTATCCCAATTAATGCCATAGAAGCATACATATATTTTAAATGTAATAAAGTAGTTTGATATATTATAATTAATTATATCCAGAATCCAATAGATAATACTTCGTTTTCTTTAATTAACTTATCGCAGAATTAAGGATAATTTAAATACCTAACTAGTTTCTTCATAATTCTGACACATTCAATAAATCCGTTTTCATTACTGCAGAGATTAATGCAATCAAGTGTGTAGTTTTTTAGTAAATATTTACAGCGTGATCCGGGTTGTGTTGGATGTGCTCATTATTTCCAAATTTAGAACAAATAATTTCATTTTTAATCGTATCATCTTCATTATTTCAACTGAGCTGTAATAATATAAGCATTTTGTTTATTATTTGACAGTTCCTTCTCCACCAATGGCTATATCAGCTAAGCCAGTTACACCATTTAAAATCGATGTCACTTGGCTGCCTCCTTTATTTCCAAATGGGTATCCGATTTCATATGAAATTCGATGGCGAGTGAAAGATTATTCTAAAACTACATTGTCCGCTATTCATTCTGGATGTGGAGAGCCTTCTGGTGCTGAATTAGCCATGTCAATATCTTCTGAACCTGGGAAGGACCATTACATAACGGTGGGTATACATTTTATTAAGTCCTATTTGGATAAGAAGCAGATATCCTTTAACCTTGTTGCAAAGTTAAGCAAAAATTACATAAAAATTCTGCAAGTTACCAGGAGAAGTCGTTTGTTATTGAGCATAAATAAGTAACACTATTTATTTATATTCTGTATAAGTTTAACTTTCTTATATATTATTAGATTATGCTTTCTCTATCATAGAATTTTAAATGCAGAAATAGACTTTTTTTAATAACGAACACTTAATGAAAAAAAAAGAAAAGAAAACGAAGCATTAAGTTAAACAAATTGGTTGACAACAGCAAATGTAGCATAGAACCTGAATTTACCTGAATTCAACACAAGATCCGAGAAATCACCTGATTTATTTTGACTTTAACCTCGTGATAGCAAGTTTGGTACCATGAGATAGCAAGATTTGCTATCACAAGATAGTTTTTGCTCGTGATAGCAAGACACATTATTTTCAGTTACATATCCAGAAACTTATTTAAACTATAATATTGGACCTTGAAGTAAATCAGGTATGAAAGGTGATACTAGTTAACTTCCGGATAAAGACATTTTTAGGGTGTTTTAGTAGTTTTCGTAATTTTATCTTATATGTGTAAAATATTTTAATATAGGTACGAGCTTACTCTTCGAATTGTGATATGTACAATGACAGTGAAGAGGTGACAGTGACTTCATATATTCTTCCCAGCAACTTAACATGCCAGAATTCGACACCCTCATCTCTTACATTGTCATGGATAGCTCCTAATGATAGCAGTGTTTTATACTTTTCTTTAGAATATTTACAGGTATGATAAAACTAATTTATTTTAAGTAAAATTACTTTACTTTTGAAACTATTTTTTTTAATTTACATAAATCAATGAAATAGTTTATTTTAGAAATGAAATTTTTTTCGTGTGTTTCTAAAATTCTTCTGTAACTAAATTCAGTATTCACAGTTTTCCTAATGCCACCTTTTTTTACTCTGGAAATATGATTATTTTGCTTTATACCATTAATTACAGAAAGCTTCTTTTTGTCAAGTACTTATGTATCTTTTATATGATATAAGAAGTCTTGGTGTAAATTGTATAGAGCACGAAAATATGTAGCCTTGTTTTCGAATAACTTACCTGATATTCGACATGAGAAAAGTGAATAGTGTCAATAGAAAATATTGGTTTAAAGTTATATATTTGTAGTAATTATTCATTTAATATTTTGTAAGGTACTATCAACTACTAAATGAGATTTTAAATACTTGTTTCTCTTTCTTTAGGATGATGGAATAGAAGGTTACGAAAGTTCAACTTCTAAAACACAAGGGTTTTCTCCGCAAAATGTAATTACCATAACAAATTTGACTCCTAGAACTGAATACAATTTTAGATTAATCTTAATATACAGTGGAAAAGAAGAAAAACTCATCTGGCCTCAGAACTCTTTTTTTCAATGTACAACAGACGGCGATCGTCCAAGTACGCCAGGAATACCTCAAGTGAAACACATTGGACGACAAGGGCAACTTTACCAAGTCTTTTGGCAGGAAGCTATTAACAATGGTTATGAAGATCTTATTTACGAGCTCGAAATGAGGTAGCCAAAATATGGAAGTAAATTACAGAATTTTTTAAAATTAAAACTTCTGATGAATCTTATTTGATTATATTTATGTTTAATTTTTAATTGATAGGTCAGATCATTTGGAAGTCAGATTCAGATGGATGGGAACTTGTGCACAATAACTCTAACACACAATGGATTGTTGATCACGTCTCGGGAAACATCAACTATCAATTTCGAGTCAAAGCCACTAACGAATACGGAAGCAGTAACTATAGTTACTCTGAAAAGCCTTTTTATTTGCCTGAGACAGAAGCATATATCGATCCTGGAGATAAAACCGTTAATATTGTGATTTCTTCAGTAGTAGCTATTATTATTATACTGTCTGTAGTGGTTGCTCCTCTCTGTATCAGTAAGTGCAATCTAGTATGTTTATTAAATGTAACTAAGCATGTTTATTAAATGCAACTAAGCATGTTTATAAAACATTTCTAAAGGAATGTCTCTTTCTAACATTTGTATTTAAAATAAGTAAATTGCAAGCCTCTTTGTTTAATAATAAAGATAATTTTAAAAAAAAAATCTATATATATATAACTTACCCTTGTAGAAAGAGAGTTCGTTTATACGTGTTTTTTTCGATAAATGTATTGGCAGTCTTTGGAGATTTGAAGCAGTTTGAAACATTGACTGGCAAAATATTTAGATTTTCTGTTAAAATAACTTCAAAAATTAAGTAGCTGTTGAAAGCATAAAATATATCTGTATATATTAATCTGTTTTATCAAACTATCATAAAATATACACATATCTATAAAAAATTTCAGATTTTCCACGATGCTAGCAATCAGACTTAACATACTATTACTCATAGTTAGAGAAATGTAAATAAACGTTAAGATGTAGCATTAAATCATAGCTGTAGAAAATTAACTGTAACACATACTGGCTATTTTAATAATATCATACCTTTCTGCTATTGAACTATTAGAGTTAGACTTAAGTTCTGTTAATGGTTCATCAATCCAATAAGTTGACATTTTCAGCAGTTCCTGGTTATAGTGTTTAATTCACTCCTATAAATATTAACAATACCATATACCACATAAGAAGTTTTATTAATGATAATGGCATTGTCTGTAAAGAAGAAGTTAAACTATTTAATATGTACTTTAGATACTTTCAATGCAACAATGTTTTACATTACTTTATTATAAATATGATAATAATCCTGTATACCATAAAGACTTTATTGACGGTTCATTCATTAATATACAGCAAGGGTGCGAGAAAGTAACGCGGATTTAAGACTCCTATGAATATAGTATTGTGAATAATATATATATATACTTTCTTTACAATGTTAGAAATTTCTGGTCATCCAATTTACTTTATCGTAAGACTACAGCTTAAATACCTGAATATTTAATAATATATATAATTACCCGAATATTTTTATGTAGTCGAATTTTTAAAATTTCATAATATTTTATTTTGTGTACCCTTTTTACATAGTATATTTAAAGAAGGAAAAGTGCAAGAAGATATTACAAGAAGTGACGCCAAACAATCAGTTAGTGTCTGATTTAGAACTGGCGACTTTACAAGATTTACCAATGAATGGACATTTTGTACATGAGACAAATGCTCTTTACAATTTAGGGTAAGTAAAAAATAGTCTTATAAAATGCGTATGCAGAGAGCAGGAAGTGAAAGCATGTTAAAAACTTCAAAGTAGTTGTTTGGTATTTTTGACTACTTCAAGAAAAATCCCTTGTTTTTATAATGCTTTCAATTCCACTGAATCTTCAATGAATCGATGCTTTATTTCTTTCTCTTCCTAGCACTGTAAAAGTTTGTATAAATAAAATAATTAAAAATTTGTGTAAGCCAAAAATAATTTAATAATATATAAAATATATTTTAAGAACACATTTATTTAAAGAAACTTTCGTTTAACCGGTTGCATAATTGATGAAACCATAATCTTAATTTCAGCTGAAGTACAGAACTGATTTATCATCTTTAATTAACTTTTATTCTTAATCTTCAAAGTGCTTCTTTCAATTCATTTTAGTCCAATTAATACAGGCATATTTTACGAAGATCTTACTAACTTTACGTATTTACAAGCTTGTAAATAAATATATATAGAAGTAGTAATTATTAAATCTTAAGGAGTATTATATATATATTTATATATACCCTTTATTATATGTAAATAAGAATCATAAAAATAATAGGGGGACCGGAAAGTAATGTCGTTTCTGCGCATGTCGACAACAACATGCTAAGGGCAGAAGTAGAAGCAAATCCATGTCAAACACTCTTAGCCAACATTGGTCGACCATCAAAGAACATTTAAAGCAGAATGGAAAAATAAGCAAAGCAGGTGTTTGAGTCCCCCATAATCTGCACGAAAAGAACAAAGCCACCCTACCCATCACATGCAACGTATTGCTTCAACGGCACCATACAGAACAGTTTTTGATCGTTTGGTTAGTGGAGACAAAAAAATAAATCCTATATGATAATCCAAAACTCAAAAGGTAGTTTTAATAGGGATTACAAAGGGTTTACATCCCAAAAAGGCGCTTCTGGGTGTTTGATGGAGTATTTGCGGAATTGTGCATTTTGAATTGCTGAAACCTGGACAAACTGTTAATGCAGAACTTTCTTGTGAGCAGTTGGATGGAGTGAACCAATCTTTAATCGAAAAATAATAGTTGTCAACAGAAAAGGCGTCATTCTGCAACACGACACTGCAAGACCGCACTGTGCAAGACGAACACTGGAAAAAATTAATAAATTGGAGTGGGAGGTCTGCCATACTCACCCACCATACTCGGCCGATATTGCAGCATTGGATTTCCATTTATTATGATCCCTACAACATTTTCTTAGTGGCAAAAAATTTGGATTATGTCCAAAATGTCCTCTCGAGATATTTTACTAAAAAACCAATTGATTTTTATGGGTCTGGGATTGAAATTCTGCATATTAGATGGCAAAAGGTTATTGATAACGAGGGTGATTATATTAGTGATTAAGAATAAAAACTTGTTAAAAATGTATTCGTTTGAATTTAATGTAAGAAAGCGACATTACTTTCCGGTTTCCCTATTGATTTTGTTCTTTTTAAGATTGATTGGGCAAATTTTCACCCAATTGAAAATTCTATTTTCTGTGACATGTCCTCCTTTAAGTATTATATGACACTGCTTACAATAAATGAAGGGTACTGTAATTAGATTTATTTCGCATATATTGTTACTATATTACAGTGATGAACGTTTCAAATATTTTGATATATAATAATGTTTTAAGCGCATAAAATTCATTTATTAGGTTTAAAATGTAAATTTCAGCTGTATGAAAAAGACTATTATATTTTCCTAATTCATTTTTATAATCAGCGCATCTCCAGAGTTTTAAGATTCATTCCGTAAAAAATCGAGATTGGAAGGAGGATTATGCTTTTACTTATGTTCAATTTCATCCTGTTTATCTCTTGGCGCGTTCATAAAACTTCTAGACTGTTCCCTAGAAGTAAACTTTTAAATCATTCTTTCATGTAATAATTGCAAGTTTCTGAATTAACCGAAATGAATCCTCATGTACCAAATCGCTAAAGTAAGGAGGGTGATTAAAGCCAATTAAGCTTTTTCTTTCAATGACAGTTAAATTGTGCGAACTTTGCCCTGTATAATCACTAAAATTAATAATGGCAGATAACGAGTTTATGAGCTAAAACATAGAATTCTTTTTTTAGTGGAAACAAATTGAAATACGTTAAGGAACATTGTTAAATATTTACTATTTGTCTTTTACTGGGATTTGGTTGAAAAAATTATGAATAAATCTTTGTGAACGTTCTACATGTGATATCTTTCTGATTAAATGAAAAGCGTATAAAATTTCATAAATGATCAACTTTCTTTTTCTTTTCTACATCGACAGAACAGCTGGCCAACGGGGTTAGGTGTTTTTCAGCTTGCTGCCTCCCGTCGATGGAATAAAAAAAAAGAGCCTAATAGGGTGTCCTCCGATGAATAATTAACTGTTGAATTCCGAAATTTGAAGATGTTTTTAGAAAATTAAGGGGTTATGGATCAGTTGTAATATAGTGGTATCTCAGTATAAGTCCGCTTTGAAATAAGTTCTGCCTGAACGCGAAAATTTTTGTTTGATATACGATATTTGTTTAGAATTCGGGTCTGATGAGTCACGACTGCGCGCACTGCACCTATTCACCTGTTTCGATACAATGCTCCAACTGCCCATGAGCGTCATTACACCTTTTGCTACTATTTAATAAACAATTTGCGCTATGACTGAATTTTTCACGTGGTTTTTGCTTTTTCGAGTATATTTATTGTAAATTTGTTAACGATGAGTTTTAAGAAGATTAATCAAAAGAGTCAAGCAATGAAGAAACTGGTTAGGATTTATCCCCATGGAAGTGAAAGAAGAGATTGTTGAAAAATATTAAGAAGGCAATGCGTTTCCGGGACTTGGCTATTGCATACCGTATCCCGAGAACTACGGTAACTACGATAGCGAAAAACTATCAAATCGGCTATGGCTGAAGAAGGAGTAAGTCGACAACCAAACAAAGTTAAGAGACATTAAAGGCATGTTGAGAAACTGCTTTTCATCTGGATAACAGAAAATTATTTATTCAGAGTATACACTGACTACCAATAAGTATTTGGACACCTATGCAAATGACGATATCTGCGGTCCTAAAGTACGTCCCAGACTCCGCCGTTATATATCGTGTAGGAAACAGCATCGGCTTTAGTCGCATGCAAGATGCCTCGCAGTTCGGAGCTCTCGGATTTCAAGAAAGGTATAATTATCGGGTATCACAAACGTGGCCGATTCTTAAGGGACATATCTAGCAATCTGAAGTATCCAAAATCGACAGTGGCCTATGTGATTAAGAAGTGGAAGGTGAGCGGTGATTGTCGAAATGTTCCCCCAGTCGGCAGACCAACGAAACTGGGAGATAGAGACCGACGAGTGCTGTCCAGAGAAATTCGGAAGAACCGCACCCAACCGATGGCCCACATCGGCGAGGAGTTTCAACAGGCATCCGGGAGTATTGTTTCAATGAATACCATCCGTAAGGCAGCACATCTGCTTGGTTTTCATCGTCGTGCTGCTGCCCATAAGCCTTTGATCACAAAGTCCAACCGCGCTGCTTGGTTAATGTGGTGCAAAGCACATCGAAATTGGACCGTAGATCAGTGGGGGAAACGAGTTCTTTGGAGTGAGAATCAAGGTTCACCCTTTACCGTTCGAAGGCAGGGTCTGGGTCTGGCGCTCTACTGGAGAACGTCTCTTGCCAGAATGCATTGTGCCAACAGTCAAGTTCGCGGGGTGGAATTATGGTCTGGGGTGTTTTCTCCTGTATGGGCTGGGACCCTTGGTACCCATTCATGGTAAGCTACACTCCGATGCCTACTGCACTATTTTGGATGACAATGTGCTTCCTTCGTTGTGGCAGTTTTACGGGTTGGACCCCTGTTACTTTAAGGACGACAATGACAGTTGTCATATTTCGACGTTAACCAAGGCTTGGTATGGGGCCAATGGAATTCATCGAATGGACTGGCCTGCCCAGAGTCCAGACCTGAATCCTATCGAGAACCTCTGGGACGAGTTGCATTGCCGAATTCAGGGGTGCACTACCAGTGCAAAATCGGTGAAGGAACTTCTATGTCTTCTCGAAGCCGAGTGGAAAAAAATACCACTATCTGTCATACAAAGACTTGTGGAAAGTATGCCCCGGAGGGTCCACGTTGTAATTGTCTCTCGTGGAGGGTCTACCAACTATTGATTTTGAATAAAGTTAGTTTTTCTTTTCTATCACAGGTGTCCAAATACTTATTGGTAGTCAGTGTATATTTCAACCACTACATTTGTATTTTAATAATAAAAAGTTTTAAAATAATAAAAATAGGACTCTTTTATGAGAACGGAATAATTAGTTTTCATTTCTTTCTTATTAGAAACGGTTGTTTGTTATACGTCCAGTTTAGTATAAGTCCAAAGATCTGAAATGGATTGATACCAGTGTTATACAAATACAAAAAACTAATGTATAAGTTATTTTGATTTCTTTTATGTTATATTCATTGTGCTTGTTACTTTTACCTTTTGACATAATTTAATATGAACTTCACTTTGACAGGGACTTGCCTTCAGATGAAGAATTAATAACGTTGCCACATATTCAAAGAGACAAAATTATTCTGACAAAATTTTTAGGAAGTGGAGCGTTTGGTGAAGTGTTTGAAGGCGTAGTGTTTGATCTAAATGAAGACGAGCCATATCTTAAGATCGCTGTAAAAGTGCGTATGGTTTTTAACAAATTATGACTATTTTAAGCATACTTGTGCATATAGTTAGAATTTGCCTCATATTTCTTTGATGGTTATAAACTCATCAGTAAAATCTGTTACTTTAGAATTCAGTCTGTTACTTTAGAATTTAGAATAAGCATTTCAAGACCATTCCTACAAAGCCATGCCTCATAACCATGGTTACGATTACTGAAGGGAAAAAATGTCGAATCTCCTAATTTGCTAAAATCCCCTCTGAGTAAGGATGACGACACAAGTTATGATCGTAAATGAGGGAAGGGTCGCTACGATCTTGATGTGCCTATTTCAAAATATCAGATTATAATGATACTGTACTTTTCCATTCATAGAAAAATTCTCAGAGAGAGTTTTCATTTCACGTAATTCATAAGTTAAAGGTATCATTGAGTCTTTAAATGTAATAATTACTAGAACAAGATTTAAAAAATCCTAATATAACGTACCTCTTTCCATATGCATATTTAAATTTTTAAAACCAGTCAAAAAGAATATTTCAAGAATTTCCGGAAATTAGCATACGAGGGACAATAGAAAATACCATAATATTACTTTGGTGGTCACTACACTTCTTTGATCCCTCCTAAATAATTTTATTGCTTTACTAGTTCTGCTCCGCATTATATGGTCACAGTATCATTATATGCTTTGCGAAATATTATGCTTATAAGGGTGCCAAGAATATACAGCATCAAAACTTAAAATTAGGCAAATTGCTTTTTAGTTATAAATGTGTGTACCGATGTAAAAAATATTTTTAATTTACATATTTTAACAAGCATTCAAATTTTAGGATTATTTCGAATTTTTTGAAAAGTTATGAAGTTTTTGTTAAAATTTCGTAATTACTTAAATTAATAATTAAAAAGTAATTTTTGGAAAATTAGAAAAATTTCTGAAAGATATATTTTTCTCAATTCTCCTTCCCGTAATTATTAAACATCATCTTACTCAATTTCACAATTATTATTTTGTTGCATTAAAGCTGTATAAATTTTAAATGAAATGAGACATATGACTAATATGTAATAAAATATAAGATAGTAAGTAATCCAGAAAAGAAAAAAATATTAAATTTTATTCTATTGTAAACTAAGTTTTTATCTTATATTCTTCCTTGTCCGAGTTCAGTACGTTTCTTTCCTTTTGTTAGACTCTGAAAAAAGGAGCAACTCAGCATGAAAAAGAAGAGTTTCTGAAAGAGGCCAAGTTAATGAGGTTAGCAACAAGTATTTTTATTTTTGTGCACAGAAATTAGACATAAAATTTTTATGTTAATTTCAAGAATGTTGACTGTTAGGCGCACTTCATCTTTTTTCAAAATTTCTATCAAAGCTGTTTATTGTATTTAAATAGTTACTTTTGTTGATATATTTTAACATTTCTACGCAGAAGGTATACAAACAACACGGACATTTTGTTTCCGCATTATGGAAATTTCAAAATGCATTTGTTTCAAAACACATTTGAATAATTGCCTTTCCCTATATGTGCTCTCGTGAGCCATCCAACTAGCAACTGGAAGAACCATTATTCAAGCCTTGGAAAAGACGCAATGGACTTTTCATGTTTCTTGGCCATAGTCTGTACTTATTTATTTCAACAAGATGTGAAAAATGTTGCAGCATTCATTTACACATGTGATCTGGGAGCATAATGAAAGGGAAAAGGACTTTGAGACGTCATCCATTGCCTTTTCTTCACATATATGTTTTTACTACCGATTTAATCACATATCTACACATAGCCATTTGACATTACCATCACATTGCAATAGAAAAGGAACATAATGCAACAACTGCGGGTCACCCTTGAGGTATGTTTAGAAGAAACAAAGATGTTTCTGTTGAGACTGGAGCACCAAAACATTTCCGCGCCTATGTTGGCTATGTTGAAGTTATGTAGTAGGAACATAATCTACAAACGACAGCATTTTGAGGGGTATGTAAATACGATTTTCCAATTTCTATGCAAACAATTTCTTATTAACTAACAAGCATAGAGCTGTGCATCAGAAGCATAGAACTGTGCATCGCGATTCAGTCTCATCAATGATGATCAATGAATCAGAATCTTGGCGACTTGAAGAAGATTGGTTGATCATTTTCTGACGCCATACCGTACGTGAAACATACCGTACGTGGCTTGTGATGGCACCTGCATCAACGGTCAGTCACTTCATATGCGTAAAGGATACACTGATGGCCCGCACGTGCGTTAATGAGATGCTATACCAAAATTGAATTTCTGATCACACCCAAATAGTATTTATCAGCTTATTAACTATTTATCAGCTAGCATCTGGCCATCGCGGAGGCTTTGTCAAGTGGTTACTTCGCATGTACAGAATTGAAATTTCTTGCAACATCTGGCCATGATTGTATTATGGTTAAGACATTGGGTTAGTACAGCTAACGTCTTTTACAAATGACAAGATGATTCTTTGACGAGCATTATTTTGAGATCTGTCACTAAAAGGAATCTACGGAACATGGTTTTCCGTTCAATGAACGAATATTCATCAAAGCCCTCACAGTGAGAAAGAATTAGAGATCTTTGCTCAATTCTGCATGGCCTACGAAATCTCAGAACAAAATTCGAGTATTCATTAAGCCAATGTCACGTCTAATTAACTGTTTATAATCTAAAGATGTGGCAACCCTGCCTTTTTAAGAGTTATCCTGCGAATTCGGAGTGTTTAACACCTGTAATTGTTTGAAATTAAAATTATTCTTCGTATTATTTTCAGAATATACTTCTTTTATTAGTGTGCAAGTTTTGTCTTATTAAAACATGTTCTTCCCATGCTGTTGTATTTTCTCTGTGGAAAAGTGCATGTTGCATCTTTTTTTTAAATGTTTAAATTATTAAAATACGTTCTTTTGATAAGGCAATATAATGCCAAGGGATATTTTGCTGTCACAAGAAAACAGTCTCACAAAGTTCTACCTGTAATAAGAAAATTTATATCTGAATTAATTACGTGGGATAGTTAATTGCTTAATTAATCATGCTTGTTAATCATCATCATAACATACAATTTTTAAGAGATGAAAATCTGAAAATCAACTTTTAGTTTTCGCGTACTGTTTATAATGAATTATGACCCATGATTTATAACATTTTCTCATGAAAACTAATTGGCCCACCAACGGCCGAGCGGTAAAGTCGCTGAACACTGGTAGTTCGGTCCGAGGTTCGAATCCCGCGAACGGGTTGGCTGCATGGGCGTTCTCGTGGTTTTCCCAATGTGCAACGTGTATACGAGCCAGTTTCCCTTAGAAAGTCCTCCACGAAGGCATCCCTCCCGTTAGGCAGATAGCCCTCGAGGCTTTGCCGTAATCACACACACATGAAAACTAATTGTTCATTTTATTTTTAATGTGATTCGTTTTCATTGTATTTGCCATTGTAGTCTCAATATTTCTTATTAAATCTTAGCGCACGCATACTAAGATTTATTGCACGCACACCAAAAAATATAGCATCAAATCATAAGGTACTAACTCATACCTATACGCAGTTTTAGGCAGCAATTTTTTTGGAACGACCGCATGATTATATTTATGTCTGATATTTGAAAGAGACCTAATTTTCGTATTAAGCACTATTTTTGAGGTATCGGTACTTGCATATTAGCGTAACTTGTTTAGTGAATTTTTGCAGGAGAAAAAGAATGATTTCTAATTGTATAAACATATTTATTACGTATACATTTTAATTTTAATTAGGTATTTATACCAAAAAGCAATGAATAAAACTACTTACAATATGCTTTTGGTCCCTTATCTTCTGGTTTAGTTTTGTAATAATTTCTTTAAGAATATATTCAAAGCTGTTGTATCCTTTAGCAACTATTTCTGCCTACAGTGGCGCTACCTGCTTGTTCGCTTTGCTCCTTTTGGGTATATATAGTATATACAACCGTGGCTTCCCCTGCGTTGCAGATTTCTTTGCTACTGATGAAGCTCCCTGCACTTGGTTGTCTTCGAAATCGATAAATCTTGATTAAAATCTACGCCAAACACAAGGTTCTTGCTTTGACTAATTTTATGTTTTACTTTGACGTGCTTTTCTTCTCTCTCTTAATCCTTTGACTAGTTTAGCGGCCTGACCTTGGTGCCACATAAATTCCTCTAATTACGATTCAAAGTGGTTAATAGTTGTTCCTTGCATTTCTTATAATACTATTTTGCGGATCCCTTCAGTCTTCCTATGTGCTGCGTATGTATGCCAGTTGCGGGATCGATAAAAGTTGTATGTATGATTAATCGTTTTGTGCATAAATGTAATTTTTTGTGCATAAATGTAATGATATTTCCGTGCTTAATATTCTCGCTTATTTTCTGCATTAACATAGTTGTTTTTGCATTATAATGCTTAATTAGGAACTAGAATCAAGAAAGTTCCTTTCGTTTCCGGCAGATTCCTTTCTAAACATATTACAACGGTCGAACACATCCAACATTGTGATTTCGTTTTGTAAACAGATTTCTGTTTAAACGATTAGATTTTTTTCGCCATTCTTTTCTGTTATTTGACCTCCTTATCAAGAATGCAGATGACTCTCTTCTCCGTGAAACGGTGTTTAGTACACCAGGGTACCTGAGCGACAAGGCTCTACCCCTTGTAAAACAGTTTGCAAATTGCGAATGGTATGATGAAATAACCTAAAAGATATCTAAATACTTTATAATAAAGTTTCTAAAATGAATAATTAATAATTTAAAATTTATATTTAAGCCAGAAGTTAGGAAATGCTAAATAAATTGTAAAGCGATGTCAAATGAATGCGGCAAGGTTAGGCAAACACTGGTAATTTGAATCCGATTAGTAAATGCAGATGTCTTTCTTATACCTCATTTTCCCTTGTATAATAAACATGCTATGAATGATAGCGTCTTATACAAGGTCACCCGAAAATTGAGAAAAAATTTTTTTTTTACCTGACGGATTATTTCTTTTTATTGGCCTGCTGGATTACAATTTAATAGGATAAAAATATTGCACAAAGTTATTGCAATTAGATTTTATTAAGTATACAACTCGTAATCAATGTTAGAACTCCCATTCATTAGCTGCACCTCATCTGTGTACCACCTACTAAAGTACATAAGCCTCAGGTTCCCCAAATGCATTGTATCAGTTAATCTTTATTGCAGACAGTCTTGTCCTAAGAAGTTTCTTATCTTTAAGATGACTTAGTATACACTCGAGGGAAAAATCTTTTGTTAGGAACTAGAAACGATATCATTTGAAATCTATACACCACTTTGTTCACCAATGAACGGGGGAGGAAAGAAATTTTTGTGAATCTCAAATGAAATTTCAGATGTTTTGGTATTTTAAAGAAGCAGTTAAGCGAAGACCTTGGCAGTCTAAGGATTAATACGCACGCCCCATATACGTCGTCAACGCATATGGTTTAGTTTGGGTTCGTTGGCCGCAAATTTATGATGTATATTATTGTTAACTATTAAATATCTAAACTTTATTTGAGTCATATTATCTACTGTGTTGTTTTATACGTATATAACTCATTATTTTACATTTATCTTGACTATGTACATTTGTAGGTGTTATTCGTTTAATATACGAAATATTCAAATTCAAAATTTATTTCCAGCAATTTCAAACACGAGCACATTCTCCAACTCTTAGGGGTTTGTATAGAAAGTAATCCAAATTTCATAATTTTGGAACTAATGGAAGGTGGAGACCTCTTGTCGTTTCTCAGAAGCAATAGGCCAACTGCCGTAAGTATTATTCATAGCTAATTAAATTCACTATTAAAGTCACTAAACATGACTTAATGTAACGAGTGTTTTTTCTTTTTATTTATTTAGTTTCACAGCAGTAATTTGACAATGGATGACTTGTTGAGCATTTGCACTGACGTGGCGAAGGGATGTAAATATCTCGAAAGTTTGCATTTTGTGCACAGGTACGTAAAAGCTTAAGAAATAAATTATTTTAAAAGGACGTTTTTTATAAATCTTTCAAACTAATGGTATTATATTGAACTATTAACAATAGTTAATTGAATGTTAGGATTGTTTATAAAAAATATGTGCCATCATGAATGGTACAATAAGAACCTTGGTACAGTCTCCCGGGGTAGTCTCCATCAAACTGAGATTAAACTTCTCCGTTTTCGGGGGTGTAAAATGACAGTGGGCAACGTTTTCGGAGATGAGATGGCTAAACGACCGATTCGTATTAACGATTTTTGACGAATGCAGTAAGTTATAAGTTTCAGGGCATTTGCAACAACAGCAACATACATGATCTTACTTCATTCTAATAAATAACGTTCCATGAGTGCCTTAATGTCATTGGAAAATCACGCTCAATGTACTTACCCAGTTGCAAACAGAATCCTGAAGTTGAATCATTCTTTAAAAATTCGGGGATACCAGATTCTTTATTCGTTGATCCCTGGACACGTTGCCATTAAGGGGAATGAATTGGCGGATATTGCAGCTAAAACTGCAACCACAATGTGCAATCTTCAGATTCCACTTGCAGACATCAAAGGGTTTGTCAAAAGCAAAATTCTCAGCAAATGGCAGAAGCAATGGGATGACAAAATATATAACAAGCTGAGAAATGTAAAACTCACCATTGGATACTGGCCATGTATGGTTAATAGAAGGGAGGATGTTCTCTTGACTCGACTGAGAATTGGCCATTGTCGTCGCCTGACCCATGAGTATTTTCTGAAGGGAGAAGAGAATCCCAGCTGTCCAAACTGCAATGCAGATCTGACAGTCCATCACATCTTGGTGGAATGCCAGAGTTTTAGTTATTTTCGCCAAAAACATTTTAATTGTTCAGACACGCATTTATTTTAGCATTTATTTGCTCAGAACTGGACTTAGGAAATTTAATTGGAAAAACACATCATCGTAATTTGTTTCTGTTTCTAAAAGATATTGGCTTTTATAATAGACTTTAACCTGTGTTTTAAAAGATATTAGCTTTTATCATAGATTGTAATCTGTCTCTTTACCTAAGCTGGAAGTTCTTACAAATGACTAATTGCATTGTTACCATTTGTCTGGCTCAGATAACCTGGACAGGTTTCGTGCCAAATTACAATAATCCAATCCAATCCAATCCAATCACGTTTTTTAAGTCCCACAGGAAAGGGAGCGTACACGCACTTTAAGGTAACGAGATCCTTTAATCCCTAATTGAGAAGACTGACAACATTTTAAAGAGCTAGTAACAAGACTATTAAGCAACTTTGCCAACCTTTTAATTGGAATAAATCGTGAAACTCGCGGATCAAAAAAGCTCGTATGTTGCAAAAAATCATAATAACAATAAAACTTTGGAAATAAGCCCCGGAGTTAGACATTACGACAATACATAAATTTTGTATTCTAATTCTTGTAGCAAATGCAAGGAAAGCAAAAATCAAGGAATACAAATTTAGAAAAATAGATTTACAAGATAAAGGAATAAAAAATTATTTCTTAAGGTAATTTATATTTTACCATGAAGTCCCACGCTGAGTGAATGCTAAGCCTGGCATTGCTTTTGTTTGCATTAGCAGTCAGTGTTTGTCCGTGTATATGAGATAGCGTTTGGTACGGTTATTCTATTATTTTCGCTTTTGAAATATTAGAATCAGCTGTTTGGCTAAAATAAATGCGTGTCTGTAATTCTTAACACAGTAGATAATAGAGGTCCTTGAAAAAGAACGGCCCCGTCTACGGAGCATAGTTCGATTATGAGTCTGTGGGATCTACCCAAAAATGAAGGTGATGTTATTAGTTTCTTATAAGAGTATAATATATTGCCGAGTAAGTGTCAATGTTCCAATTTTCACATTTATACGCAAAATATCGAACGGGTATAGAGGTTTTCAAAATGGTGGAACAAGAAGCATAGGGATACGATTAGACACTATTTTTGAGGTCGTTACTTTGCGAGGTTATGTGGGAGTGAAAATTTGAAGCTCAGGGAAAAAGCAAAAAAAAAAAAAAAAAAAAAAAAAAAAAAAAAGAAAAGAAAGGGGGGAACCTTTCGAAACTATTTTAGAAATGATTGCCAAACAGGTTTTACTCAACATAAAGAAAAACTAATTGTATCAAATTAACCAACTCTTCTACGCTAACACGTAAGTACTTTTTTTTATACTATTTCATGTTAGTCTGCATCGATCTCCTTCATCCTCTGACTATTGATAGGCTTTTGCCCTTTGTTAAGACTAACATCAAATAAACCTTTCTTTTCAAATGCTTTGACTTTCATTTTTTTACATCTTGATAGTAAATAAAATTGACAGGTTTGTATTGGCATTCCTTTGCATGCCTGTACGTTTTCGAAATAGGTACTTCAACTTTGAAAATTATGTACATTATACTGTTTCATATCCAGTTATTATACATTTTTTTTATTTATACAGAGATTTAGCTGCAAGGAATTGTCTTGTATCCAGCTACGAGAGGGAAGACAGGATAGTAAAAATTGGAGATTTCGGATTAGCTCGAGACATTTACAAGAATGACTACTACAGAAAAGAAGGTGAAGGTCTTTTGCCAGTGAGATGGATGGCTCCAGAATCTTTAGTATATGGCGTGTTCACAAGTCAATCTGATGTCTGGTTTGTGTTCTCTTTCATCTACTCAGATTTTAACTATTCTGTTTATAAAACATGCAGAAACTTTCGAAGTTAGGAACCTGATTATCTAAAAATTGAAGTATTTTTTTACTGTTTAGGGCATTCGGAGTTCTCCTGTGGGAAGTGATGACTTTAGGTCAGCAACCATATCCAGCTCGCTCCAACATGGAAGTGCTACATTATGTAAGAGACGGAGGACGTTTAGATAAGCCAGAAAATTGCCCTGATGATTTGTAAGTGTAACCGATGCATAGAAAAAATAACTAGATACGAAAATAGAGATGATAATTGTTTTCAATAATATTTCAACTGCAAAAAGTTCAAGGTGCATATCGGTTATCTCCGCTGATATTTTCTAGACCATAATTGTTTTCGCTTCAGGATTATTTGGCAAAAACATACCATTAACCACTTTTGGTTCCACTTACCTGATTATCTCTAAATATGGCATCTGGGTTTGCCTTCTGCACATTTTATAAGGTATACTTGCTCATCATTATTAATTAAATTTTTAGCTGCTCAAGTAAAGAAAAATCAGCGAGTGAAACTGATGCACTGGAAGATTTGAATAAAACATATGAATGATTGTTGCTGTCTTTCATAGAGGATGAGGGGGGAAGCTAGAGAAAAGAAGCAGATAAGGATTCGCAAAATGCCAAGGAAGATATTGTTTAACTAAAAAGTTATCTTCAAGAAAGTATGAGCTGGGAAAAACATTCAATACTGAAATCTATGGCTAAAATTTAAAGGAATTCATTTAACAGCTGCAGAAAAAATGAGTACCATTTAGCTTCCAAAATATGTGGAAGTCTTTACCTCATTATCACTCTTGTACTTATTTCTAATTTTACCTCCATCTAATTTTACCTATCCTCCAGTTCCAATTTTTATTCATTCTTTAAAGGTAGTTGCAGTATTTCTATGATATTCTTCCTGTAATTCATCATGATGTATTTTTCGGATGCAGTGCAGATGCTGTTTTGATTCATTTTCATTTTCAGAAAGAAAATAATGTTCATTTTCATTTTCAGAAAGGAAATAATGTTAAGCTGCTGGAGCTATGATGCTGATGATCGTCCAAACTTTTGTTACTGCTTACATGCCCTCGAAGAATTAAGGAGAAAGTTAGAACCAGCTACATTAGTCATGCCGTCTGTTTACAATTTCGCTTATTATTCTCAAGGTACCTTTTTAAATCCCTACATTCATTCTATAAAGTATTAATTTTTCGACATTCAAAAGGTTTCAAATCAGTATGTTCAGTCTTCTGTTTTCACATCAGTATCAAACGTGCGAGTACATACAATTCAGAATGCAAAGTGACATGAATAAAAGCCACGAAAATAAAATAAATTTATAAAATACTATTATATAAAAGTTTGTAGTAACATATTATGATATGTTTTTATGATTTTTCCGCTATAGTAAATTTCTTTCATAAATAATTAAGGTAAAATATGCCTGTGCCTGACCATCATAAATTTCACGTAATAAAATTTTAAATTATTTATTGTTCCAAGAAAACTTCCATAATATTAGACTGATATTCAATTTATTCTACCAGTATCAGGTAGTTTACTAATGGTAATTATTATTTACATTTATGTTATAATTAATAAATAATTATATTTATATCAGCTGTTTCTGTTGATATGTTATTAATTCTAGAAACTGTAATCCTTAATGATTTACTTAATAATAATCACTAATATTTATCTCTCTCTTGATAATTTATGTGATCAAATGTCTCTAATATTTTAATCTAAAGCTTTGCATCAGGATATTTGTCATAAGAATGAATTTTATTATTGATTTGTTCTTTTTTAAAATGTTGATGCTATTTTAACTACGTAAACATGCTTAAAATAAATATTAATTGAAATTTATTGAATTAATCACCTATCATTGTTATTTTGTAAGCTTTATTTGAGAAGGAATAAGTAATATTTGAAATTTTGAGCCATTTTACAGAATTTCCTTTCCATTAGGTTTTGACAATTTAGGTTACTGTGAGAATGAAATGACTGAAATCTCACACACTTCAGCTAACAATACCAATGATTCATATAAAGCAGAAACACCAGGTAGATTGCTTGATTATACTGCACATTGTGTTGCACACATCAAAACTTTCAAGCACTTGCATCTTCTTCCAAAAACCTCTTTAGTGATTGTCTTCCTTTTTTACTACACTTTATTTAATTGAAATTTTTGTATTAATTCTCTGGTTTATTAATGCCACTTCAGAAGGTCCAGGACACGAAATTATACATTTTCTTTGTTTATGATTATTTTTGTAGAATTTACCCTCGAAATGCGTGTTTTAATAAAGATGCCTCTATTTATGAAAAAGTTTAAACTTTGTAAATAACTAGAAATCTTGTTTAAAAATGTTTTAATTCCAAATTTTGAAACATGTATAATTTTTTAAATAACTTTTGAACCAGTCAATAAATGTTTATAATTATTTTCACTTTTGGGCTCAGAAAAATATTCCTTCTTATTTGGTTAAAATGTTTATAAAAATATTATTTAAAAAACTTTTATAATTCCCAAGGTAAAAAAAGAAATCCACATTCGTTCGTTTTGGTTTGAGGCAAATATTTTCCCATTTTCAGTCAAAAGCTTAAAATAGAACAAATGAAGTATGCAAAACATTTTATACATATACTTTATAAAGAAGTTTATATACAGCTATTTAAAATTAAGAAGTGATGAAGAAATCATTCCAAGATTTAAAAAAAAAAAAAAAAAAAAAAAAAAAAAAAAAAAGTTAAATGATTTTCAGCAGTTATTTTTCAACATATTAATAATGTCTTGCTTTTTACCACCTAAACTCATAAATCTACTTTGGTTTATTTTTATACAAATAATGCAGAATAACAGAAAAACGGATTTGATAGTACGTCTGAAATTAAATTTTGAAGTATATAATTTGAGCAAAAACTGTAACGAACTAATGTCATTCTGTTTTATAATGCTCCAAGTTTAAAGTAATTATAATGTTAGGAAGTTTCTCCTTCCTTTCAGAGGGCCTCCGTGGTGTAATTGGAAGCATATCCGGCTGGCCGCTGGAAGGTCCGGAGTTCAGATCCCGATAAAGGCATCGCTGAATTCCTTGTCTCCTGCAGTGCAAAGACTAATAGATTCTAGAGAGCAAAGAGTTTAAATTCTACTGAAAATTTAAATTCCGTTTATAAATTAATAATTTTTCATGCATAGTAATGGTAGCTGGTTGGTTATATGAATAGAGCTAAGTACACGATGACTATCTGCCTAAGGAAAGAGATACTTTTATGCAGGAATTCCTATGGAAAACTGGCTAGTATTCACGTTACACTTGGGGAAAACCAAGATAACCAGCCATGAAGCTAATCCATTCGCCTGGGTTTGAAACCCAGGACGCATAATCACTATTCAGTAATCGTTAGCCAATTAACCAATGGTGAAGCTTCATAGAAATGATATTTTAATTTTAATCGAAAGTAAATATAAAACTTGTAGCAATATTCTATCAAAACAGGTTAAATTGACACGTCACAAAACAAATGATGAAAACATCGGAAGTAGATAAATGTTGCAAGAGTATAGAAACTCACAAAATCAAATAACAATTCGTTTCACTTCGTAAAGCTAACAAATAAAATATATAAATAAAAGTAGAACATTCAAGGAACATTAATTTTTGAATACGCAATAAGCCAGAATTAGACATAAATCCTAACAGAATAATGCAAGAAAAAAGATATTCTATCTTCTGATGTAATTATTGTAAAAATAGCTCTTGTGTTACTTGATTATAAATTTTCTGCTCTATGTTTTAACTCAAAAGTATTGAAGTGTAATTTTATTGAGATTTTCGTGTCCTGGTCATTTTATGGCTATTTTGGTATAGTTTGGTATACACGTGCACTGTTCATTCTAAAAAATTATAAATTAATCAGCAGTCTCTAAATGGTATATTAACAAATAAATTTTAAATAAATTTACAGGTGCTTATATTGGTCAAAACAATACTCCTAACAATGACGGAACCAAACTACAGGATGATAATATAGATTCACGAAGCACTCAAAGTGATCCATCAGCAATGACAATGCTAATGGTAAGTTATACACATTTCTCTATACCTTCATATTCTATACATAAAATAGATTTTATACAGTTTATATTTATTTAAATGAAAAACAGGTTTAAAAACCTTAGTTAACTTTAGAGACCCAGTTTTACTTGCACAATTTCGAAGGTATTAAAATGCTTTAATTTTTATAGCTTGACAGCATGACATTTGGGAACAACTTCAATGGACTGGCAATGATTTTTTGGCTTTGTAATAACTTGGAAAGGCTTTAAGTGCGTAGTTAGAGAGTTGGCATTTGAAGGCAGACATGACTATAAATTCAACACATAATTTTATTCTTTGATAACTAATCCTTAGGGGAAATATTTATCTTTATGGGTATTTAATCCAATCCAATGCTTCAAACAGAAAAACCGCTTGATGACAGAAAAGCCTTTTTAGAACAAAACATTAGAGCGTTAGCGAGTGAAGATAAGTATAATTTTGGAAAAGACATAAAATTTTTAATCTAATTTTTTTTTCAAATTACAAAATTTTGTATATAAGATTTCCAACAATAAATGCACAGTTTAGAGATCTCTTGAAATTTTCAGTGCAATTTCAGGAATCTGCAAGTGCGTTCTCTCTTAAAATATCATAAAAATTTTCCAAAATTTTTCAAGAAATAATTGTAAATGTTCACAATTCTTGGGATCCTTGCTTTTTAAGTCCACATAAAGTCCACATCATTGTTCTGCTGCAGCGCTTCAAAAAGTAATCCAGCCTGGGTTTTATATTAAACGCGATGTGGTGTTTTCAGAGACTGAGGGTACGAACTTTTCAAATCATTACAATTTCCCATTCCTAGTACTTTAGAAGGTAGTAATCTTTGTTTAAAGAATGAGCTTTAAGTTCGCTTGCCATATACCGGGTGATCAAAAAGTCAGTATAAATTTGAAAACTTAATAAATCACTGAATAATGTAGATAGAGAGGTAAAAATTGACACACATACTTAGAACGACATGGGGTTTTTTTTTAGAAAAGCAATAATTAGAAAAGCAATAATCTGATCAGAAAAGCAATAATTAGCATAACAAATTAAGACAAAGCAAAGATGATGTTCTTTACAGGAAATGCTCAATATGTTCACCATCATTCCTCAACAATAGCTGTAGTCGAGGAATAATGTTGTGAACAGCACTGTAAAGCATGTCCGGAGTTATGGTAAGGCATTGGCGTCGGATGTTGTCTTTCAGCATCCCTAGAGATGTCGGTCGATCACGATATACTTGCGACTTCAACCAAAGCCAATAATCTCACGGACTGAGGTCTGGGACCCTGGCAAGCCAAGCATGACGAAAGTGGCGGCTAAGCACACGATCATCACCAAACGACGCGCGCAAGAGATTTTTCACGCGTCTAGCAATATGGGGTGGAGCGCCATCCTGCATAAAAATCGTACGTTCCAGCAGGTGTTTATCAGGCTGGCTGGGGACGATGCGATTCTGTAACATATCGGCGTACCTCTCACCCGTCACGGTAGCAGTTACAAAACCAGAATCACGCATTTCCTCGAAGAAAAAAGGCCCGATAACAGTAGATGTGGTAAATCCAACCCATACCGTGACTTTCTCGTCGTGCAATTGAGTTTCCACGACAGTTCTAATAAAACCCCATGTCATTCTAAGTATGTGTGTCAATTTTTACCTCTCTATCTACATTATTCCGTGATTTATTAAGTTTTCAAATTTATACTGACTTTTTGATCACCCGGTATTTATTTTGACTTCTTATCTTCTTCATTAGTGTTATGTTCGTCAGTCAAAAACCTCAAAATTACGATACCCAGTAGAACGTTTATCCATAGCAGAATCTTCTTTCAGTCCTATTGTATTAAATTATAGTCACTTAGGTGAAAAAAAGCTCAAATAGTGGTATATATTTTAAAATTTAACCTCAAGTGGTTTAAAAATAAGTTTTTAATTAGTGCAGCTAGGATTATATTATTATTATATAGAAAAATAGTAATAAAAATGATACTTGAAAATTTAAATATGTAATCTATTTTCTTATTATATCGGATTTTAAAAATTTAACACTTTTTTATAAAAATAATTAACTTTTATGGTATCAAGAGGTTTAATATTTCATAATTACGTATAGTAAAATTAATTAATGAATTTAAAGACTTTTAATTGATTTATTTATTGAAAGCTATTAAAATTACTTTTCATAATTTATATTTGAATTATTGTTTAAAAACTTATTAAATTAATTATTTAAAGAATTATTTTAAGAATTAATAATCATTTTAAAACTGGCATAAAAATGGATATAAAGTTGTGTTTGAATATAATGTAGAAAGCATAAAATGTTTTGATATTAAATATTATCGTTATGGATATAGAAGTGCGAAAAATGATTGAATGACTCGAGTAATTGTGATAAGTTTATATGACTAATGTAATTTAAAGTAAAATTGATTTGACATTGTTGTAAAAGAATGTTATAATGATTTAGTAATTGCATTCAAAGACAGAGTATGTTGAGTGAGTATTGGTTCAAAAACAGAGGCCTATTTTTAGGCATAACTGATCCTTTTATCCTCCTCATGCAATATAAACTTTAAAGGTCCCTCCCCCCACCTTATGAAAAAATGAAAAAAATGAAATTTTTTATATAGATTTAGTTTTATTTGTTATTTTCCTTACAATGGAATGTGGTTTATTTATCTATCTATCTATCTATATATATATATATATATATAATGGAATATTTTCGCGCAACTCACAAACGCCAGCTACCTTATGTACGGAACGGAGGCCTTCATAAATAACTGTACTTTAACAATTGTACCCTTTAACAATTGATACCCCTTAACAATTGGTAAATTACACTCAGTTAAAGTGGATATGCTTAATTGATGGAAGTGATTGAATTTGGAGAAAGCTGTCGTGTTTTCCAGTTTAGTGTAAAATAAAGAATTACAGACGAAATAGCCAAAAATAACCATAATTTCAATATGAATTATAATGTTAAAATATCTGTTATAAAAATGAAAATTAGCTACGTAAAAGATTTAAGACTTGTTACGGTTATTCAAAACAAGTAATGGGTGTTATAAAATTTTTACATTTGTGATACTTTGTGAAAAGCTTTGAAAACCATTCCATGACCAAATGTGATTATGTGAACTCTAAAACAGACTTTTGGCCTGAAAATTGTAATATGACTCTAAAATATTTTCGCCTTTTTTATTTTGCAATTATTTAAATGATTATTTTGGTTAAAAATTTATGACTTGTTCCTCTCAAATTATATTTCACTTTTGCTAATGCTTTGTAGCGTTTTCTCTCTCAATACTGTCGCAAAGCCTTTTCTCTCTTTGAAGGGGAAGAATATGTAAGATAAAAAATATGAAACAAACTAATATATTAATTTTGCAATAACCCCTTTTCTAATCCCCCTAATTTCTGTTTTAGTTTGGACACTTCCCCTTTCCATCCTTTAAGTAACGATGATGAGGTAACCAATTCGTAACTTAAAATTTCTAGAACCGAAAGCTTTCTCCTAAATTAAGCTTCCACATTGAATAACTACCCACTTTGCTTCTACGCCTCAGCGAAGGTAGATTGCTGCTTGCTGTTTCTTTTCTTATTACAAAGCTATCAGAAATGTAAATGTTTTGAATTAGGCGCGACTATAATGTCGGGTGAAACTGCGACCACTAATATCAATTTAGATAAAAATGAATATTTAATCTGCTTCGGCTGCCAAGTTTGTTGTTTATTATGGATCAACTTAAATCCTATCAGACATATGCAAGATAAAAAACAGGTAAATCAAAATTGTAACTTAAATTAGAAATATCCGCTTAATTCTTCATTTTAATTTGGGTATTTCCCCTCTCTATTCTAAAAATAGTAATAAATTTTTCCTGAACTGCGTCGCTTCTAGATTGATACATATCAAATGACTTTTACATAACCATGATGACGTAGCTAATTCGGAAGTTAAAATTTCGAGAACCGAAACCTTTCTCCTAAACTAAGCTTTCACACTGAATAATTACGCACTGGCATAGTTAGACCGTTGCTTGCTTGCTCTCTTGTAATCGCGACTATATCAAAAATGTAAATGTTACATTATTAACAGGCCCGATTAGAATGTCAAGTGAATTGTAGCCACAAATATCGTTTGAAATAAAATGAATATTTAATCTGCCTCAGCTGCCAAATTTGCCACGGGCTGTCATCGTCTAGTTAGATTTTGCGCCAACGCTTATGCTTGGTACTAAATATCCCCGTTAACAGAAAAATATCACAAACTTTGAATTATGCATATGATGCGCATAACTAAATTTTATATTTTATTGCAAAAATATATTATTGTGATTCTTCTATAGTTTTCAGAAAAATGTGTAGAAATTAACTAAAACGTATTTAGTTAGTCATGTATTGATAATTTCATTCATACATGTATCTGATTTTTTTCTTTTGTCTCAGATTTTGCTAATAGCTTTATTTATTTATTGATATTTAGCACTTTAGAAACGAACAGAATGAAATTTCTGGACTTTAAAGAGCTAAATTAAGCTTTCACTTAATTCTGCTCAAAATATTCTCAATAAGTCTGTTGAGATCTCAAACCGAAATTCATGTCTTAAATCATGTAGAAAACTTAAACCATGTAGAAATGTATTTCGTGAATAACAATTTTTTCTGAAATTTTTAGACATTTTATTTTCCTAAACAACATCTTGAGTGCTTACGTACTGTCGGCCGTAAAATTATGGAACCATCAAATTATGAAAATTGGCGAAGATACCTGTGAAGTTACGGCTATCATTCTTGCCGAATTCTGAAGGAATTGTTCGTGTAAAACAGTATTTATTAACAATAAATACTGTTTCTTTACTCTCTTTATTTCATACACAATCAGTATTCGACCCACTTCATTTTGGCGCTTCTCAAAACGTCCTCCGTTGATTTCTACCATTTTGTTAGGCCCCTCGATTTTACCGGAAGCTGTGGTTACAGCACTATAAGTACAAATTTCCGCAGATAATTTCTCCATTGCAGTTTTGTTGCCCATGTTCAGCTGACCATATCGTGTTCATTTATACACAATTTTTTGGGAGTAGGATCCCATAACGTTGAAAACATTCCTGTTCTTGCTGTTCTGTAGAAAGTAGGTTCCAAATTTTAATCATTTTTTTAGTGCAAGGGAAAGATGGATCAACAAACAGTTAATTTAAATCCTCGTTCATAAAAACTAAAGATTGCTTAGATGGCTCAGTCGAAATATGGCTCGATCGGGTTTACATCGAACGAAAGTGCAGATGTTATAGTTGTGTTGTTACGTCACGCTTACCCATAAATGACACTAAATCGCTCTATTTGGCAAGAGTGTCATGGTCGATGGGATAATATTAATTTAAATCCTCGTTCATAAAAACTAAAGATTGCTTAGATGGCTCAGTCGAAATATGGCTCGATCGGGTTTACATCGAACGAAAGTGCAGATGTTATAGCTGTGGTGTTACGTCACGCTTACCTATAAATGACACTAAATCGCTCTATTTGGCAAGAGTTTCATGGTCGATGGGATAATACGTAAGTACCATATTTTGTATGATTTAAAGGGGGACCGCAGTAATTCTATTATTGATATGATGAATTGGAAACCATACATCTTTACAAAAAATATTTTGTATTAATTATTTTACGGAAATAAATCAATCTTTTTAGCGTTTATGCCTAGTGGTAGGCAAGATATTATATAAAAGGAAGGTATCAGAAAAACGAACAAAATAGTAGTTGAGCTATTTTCCTGTCCAGCTCCAACTTCATCTTGCTTAACTTAGATGACCGTTTAGAAATTTTGCTAAATTTTAAATTATGGTACAAAAAAAGCAATTTTATAATCTTTAAGGGAAACGTTTCATGCAGCTTTTAAGTAAATATGTTTGTTTTATTTACAGGCTGAAGCAAATTCTGTAAGAAGGTCACTTTCTTGGACAAACTTGATGTCCGAAACGCATAATGAGAATCTCGGAAGCAATGAAAGAAGAGGCAACAATAGATCTAACAGGAAACATGTAGTAAATAAGTATTTGGAACTGCTCGGAGACAATGAAGATTCTGATGGCTATCAAGTTCCAGTAAAGCTTGCAAACTCATCTAAAAAGGCAACCCACATCCCTGAAAGGAAACATGTTCTTGGAAATATCGGTGCTCAGTCTTCATCAAATGCTGCCAAAGACTTATATAATCACCAGATAATAAATTCTTCATCGCTGAATGCTATTGGAGGTTTACCTAACACATCAAACTATAAAAATGAGTTTGATGTAACTAGTCCAGAAGCGCTTAATTCAAGGATAAACAGCAGTCAGCTAACTGAGAGATTTAATTTAAGCCCTGAGTATGAAACAGCGACTGAGGAAGCTGAAGCATCAGGTATATGCACTGAAAATGTTTTACAGTGGATGAAAGACTGCGATGAATGGTCTACATCTACGGCTTCATTAACCACTTACCATTTTGATGCTTGTAGAGATAACCAGAGGAATAGCGGCATATCTGCGCTGTCTTGTGTTTCAGGTATCGATATGAACTATACCTGTAAATCATCATACTGCTAAATGTGATTATCATAGTCACCTGATACACCTGAGAAGGACACACTTAGCCTAATTTACAGGACATCGTGTAGTAAAAAATCGATAACTGTCTCTTAAAATTAAGTTGAATTATTCTGCAATTGTTTCGAAAAAGAGGTGGATGAAGAACGTATGCCATATATTGAAAATGGCATACGTTCTTCATCCACCTCTTTCCTAAAGATAATTGATTAAAGACCACATGTCCGGGTTGAGTAGCCTCATATACTCTGATACTTGTATAAATTAATATAAATAAATCTGAAATTAATGGTAGTGTTTAAGCTTAAACATAAAAATAATAATATTTATTTAAATATTTATTAACTGAATCTGGTTAGGTAAGTTATTTGAATACTACAAACTTCAAGGACTATCTACCTAAAAGATGGATGCCTTCATGGGGAACTTTCTGAGGGAAAATGTCTAGTATTAACGCTATACATGGAGAAAACCACTAAAATCAATCATTCAGCCAGCCCACTTTCTTCGGTTTTAACCAAGAACAAGGTTGAGCTACAAGTATTCAGCGGTCTTCACCACTAGTGGTGGGGACTACAGTGCCGGAACACTAGTGGCAACTGAACCCGGATGTGATGGTTTATAATTGCTCAAAATTCGAAAATAATTAAAGTATAACGCATATTTATGTATTATTTACTATCAAAATATTAAAATTAAAATTTGCTTTTAATGTTATATGCTGTTGCAGGCAACATAAATGCATGCTATGCTAGTCTTATATTCACTGTCATAGAAGGCGCAATTATTCGTGATTTTTGCAATTAAAAGTTAATGAATGGTAAAACATTTATAATTTCATATCACAACTTATGTTCTGACAAGATCTATTGTTGGCTTTACAACGAATATTATCCAGTTGTAATGAGTTGTAGCTAGACAGTACATTACAAAGTCAGATCCACAAATAATAGAATATTCATTGCAATATTTAATACATTACATATCCAAAAACAGTAAATATTACCTTGCATTAAAATACTTAATCATGGGATGCACATCCTCGGTGAACGAACGTTCATTTGTAATGGCCGCCTGGACCCAGCATAGCAATAATAATTTTTTTTTTTCGAACGTTGAAATTAGCGTAGAGAATGTTCGCAAAGAAATTATGGCAGTGAAGTAAGATGAAGCAATTATGGCAGAAAGTCGGTGAAAAATTCGTTGAAAACTTAGCAGTTGTAGAGAATGAATTGAGGTAAAGTCCTGAGAAAGGCATAGATGAAGAAGTTGAATTTGCGACGAAGAACCGGACATCGATGACCTTCCAGTCAGCGAGAGTTCGAGGCTGAATGAAAGGGAGCTGGTTCAGTAGCCAGGGTGAAGGTAGGAACAGGGATGATTTCGATTGTTGTGGAGGAGTTACACTATTGTCTACAGTGTGCTCAGTAAAATTTGTAAAACTCTCTTCTTCTTTGGGCCGTTTCCTGTGCTGAGTTTCTGTAGTAGTTGAGAACTGGGATTGTGGAGTTGTCTGCCTTGATAATATCATGGTAGAAATTTTTCTATAGTTTGACCATTACTTCAACAATTAATGGGATTTTGCATTCATTGTGAATTGCGTCGTTTCTGATATACGAAGGACAGTTTGCCAGTTGTCTCAGTGTTGTGTTTTGATGTTGTTTGATGTTGTAATTTTAGTAATGTACTTTTGCAAGCATAATCGCAGACTTGACATGCACATGTAAGTATAGGCCGCATCATGGAAATATAAATGAGTAATTTTTGGTCTAAAGTTAAAACGCTGCTTCGAGCGATTAAGGGGCTAAGTTTAGATTTACTAGCTTGAAACTTTGTAGCTATGTGTTTAGTGTGAGACTTCCATGTTAAATGATGATCTAAAATTGCACCTAGGTATTTGATTTCTTTGACCCAGGGAATAGGAGTATTTCAGAATGTGAGATCTTCATCAATAATCAATTTTTATAAACATGACAGCAATAGTTTTTTCAACATTAATTTTTAATCTTCCATTTATTAAGCCAGAACTCAAGTGTATGAATGTGTGTTTGTAGCTGTTGTATAGCTGAGCTAATAGATGCATTTTGTGTGAGGATCGCAGTGTCATCTGCGTTCATAGCGAGTGTGTTCTGTGTGTGTGGGATATCGTTCGCGCACATACTAAAGAGTAAGGGTGCCAGGACATCTGCGCGTATTTTTTGCTTAGTGGAGTATGTGTTTTTGACGCGAGCGACAAAATAACTGTCTAAAAGATAGGATTAGAGTGTTATGATGATGTCTTCTGGAAACCCCAGAGTGATTAATTTGTAAATACGTTCATCGAGCCAAACGCGATCAAATAGCAGCAGTGTTCCGTTATACATTCCACATTGCATTTAAAGCTGAATATATGGTGCTATAATAATGCATTTATAAACTGAATATATGATGTATTTTTAACTTCTTTTTAATGTGTGTATGTTACAGTGGATTTCTTAAATCTTTTGAAATGATGCATTTTACTTCTGTAATAGACTGGAAGTAAGGCAGGGCTTTATATAAGTAACAATCCTGCAATTCAAAACTTTTTTGCCAGAATAAGAAATCTTTGTCATATTAAGCGACTTTTCTATACATTAAGTGTTAATTGCCTTAGCTATATCCAGGAAAATAGCAGCAGTGTTGAGTTTTTCTTGTACCCCAAATGAAATCATTTCTGTAACTCGATCAAGCTGATGTACAGTAGAGTGATGTTTTCTGAACCCATATTGCTAGGGGATCAGAAGTCCTTGGTTTTCAGCATGGTTACTGATAGATTTGAGGATAATAAATTAAGCTATTTTGCTACAGACTGGCAGGAGGTTGATGGGACGATAAGATTAAGGTTTAGTGGCTGTTTTTCCGGGTTTCGGAATTGGTTCTATGACAGCTGTTTTCCACTGGAGAGGAAAGTATTGAAGATTCACAATATATTCTTGTTACTAATTCAGAAGTCAAACAACAAAAATCAGCGTTAAAATCATTTTGCGGTTTTGCAGCTGAAGATGATGGTTCGGTAAAACCATCGAAACTAGTCCTGTGAAAATTTTGTAAATTAACGCTGATTTTTGTTGTTTGACTTCTGAATTAGTATTTATTCGGCGTGTTATTGTGTCTTAATTATATTCTTGTTAGTTTGCAGGTTATCAGAAATCCCATTTTCTTCACTATCTTGTTAATGTAATTATCTTGTTAATGGACTGTTATATAATATAGGAATAACAGCAGACATAGATTACAGTGTTTGCGATAAAGGGGTGAACTTCTCTGTAGTTTAACACAAGAGAAATATGAGAAAAGTGCATTGCATTGCTCTTAAACACATCAGTGTCTGTGTTACAGGGTTTGCGCATTGAGACGATGTTTAACAGGAAACATAAACCACTGTTGAGCTGAGCAGTAGGTTACATATCAATTATTTTACGTGAAGTGTCCTCATGAGTTGCAGTCCCATAACAACTGAATGTATGTTGTTTCAAAATGCATTTAGAACTGAATATATGGACCTTCCGTTATACATTCCACATTGCATTTAAAGCTGAATATATGGTGCTATAATAATGCATTTATAAAATGAATATATGATGTATTTTTAACTTCTTTTTAATGTGTGTATGTTACAGTGGATTTCTTAAATCTTTTGAAATGATACATTTTACTTCTGTAATAAACTGGATCTAAGGCAGGGCTTTATATAAGTAACAATTCTGCAATTCCAAACTTTTTTGCCAGAATAAGAATGTTTGTCATATTAAGCGACTTTTCTATACATTAAGTGTTACGTGTTGAGTGTTCTACAATAAAAACAATTAAATACTTTCAATAGTATAGAACTATGTTTCATAGACTTTAAAATTAAAAAAGGAACTAAGTAAATGTGTTTTGTTTAAGTGTGCAATTTAAGAAATAAATTGTAAATTATGTTATTATATTTTGTGCATATTAAATTAAGTATAAAAATGCTTTGATATTTCAGAATGCATTTTATCATGTTATTTGTTTATATTACTTATTTTATTATGTTACTTATAGGATCACATTATTTATAAAAGTAATCTGACCCTATATTAGATCTAATGCAGTAATTTGCGATACAAGTACATTAATTTATAGTTGTTGCCGAAACGTCTCCCTACTTCGATACTAATCACAAAAATATTAATATATCTGTGCTTTTATATGTTTTAGATATTGCAATTGCTCATCAATATATCTTTTCTGCTAAAATGTAGGTTTGTTGCGATGTGCGTTTTAGTCTTGTGAAGTAGTAATTTCATATTAAATTTTGACATTAATATCATGCTGTTGGAAATTTATACATTTTGTTACCTGGTCTTACTACTTTGTAAAATAACTACAGAAACAGGTATATGTGTTCTGTCTGGGTTCTCGACAACGAATTTCTTATCCAAATATTACACTTAAGTTTTATCTTTGTGTGTAGGTGCTATAGCTGAATTGTATCCCTCTGAAGTTGTAAATTTTTACTTTATGATAGTTTAGAAGCTGCTAAATGTTTACCAAAAATGTTTGTATATTTGTATAAATGTGTTGATGCTTTTTCCATTCTCATTAATGTGCAAATATTTTATGTCATTCATACATTCCTCATTTGTTGCATTCATTCTAATCAGTTGTATAAAATATAAGTTCTATATACATTTTAGGATCATTGAAAGTCAAAAATTACCTTTGTACAGTGTAAATATTATTTTTAAGTATCATTCATTTTTATATTTTTACTTAGGTTGTACTTTATTATGTTCATAATTTGTAAATTATTTCATTTTCTGTATATACCTGTGTTGGATGTCTAACGTTAAATGTAATGTGACGATACGTCATGCAAGTTTGTTACTTTTTAGTTTTAATATTGTGTCGATCTTAAATACCACCTCGGTTGCATTGTATTTCGAAAAACGACACGGTAATCTTATCAAAAAATCATGGTTATTGTGTTAAATAAATTTTAATGTAAGCAATGATACTTGAGAGGTACACTGAATGGACAAATAAATGTTGTCAATGTTGGAAAGCTTTCTGTTTAATATAACATACTTTCTCATTTACTCCATTATTTATGGTTTGATTTGGTTTATGTGATTATGGCAAAGCCTCGAGGGCTATTTGCCTAAGGGGAGGGATGTCTTCGTGGAGAGCTGTCTGAAGAAAGCTTGCTCCTATACACGTTTCACATGGGGAAAACCACGAAAGGCCCGTTTGCGGGATTGGAGCCTCGGACCGAACTAACAGTATTCAGTGACTTTACCGCTCGGCCGCTGGTGGGCACCATTATTTCTGACATTAAATGTATTTAAAAAATTGCTCATGAGCATAGGTTAAGAATAAATAGATTAACTTTGAACTTTGTAGAAGTTTTATAGAATATCATTGCATACATTTTACAGAATTCTAGTTTCAAATTTACCGAAAGTTAAGAAATTTTAAGCCACAACTATCATGATATTCCAGGGAATTTGGATGAAGTTTAGGTGAGAGGTTGTTTGGATTACTTGTAAGGCATACAATGGAATGTTAGAAACCAGGAAAACATCTTTCTCCAAAGAAAAAGCTTAATTTTCACTATAAAGGCATATTTTATTTTAGAAGCGCAAATCATGAAGTATAGAAAGATTATCCCTAAAATAAATAAAGGAGCTATGATAACAGAATTAGTTTTAATTTTAGTATAAAAGAGAACTTAATTCATACTTTCCCTAGAATTTTTTTATCATTCCTATAGTCTTTATTTCGTATACTACCAAATATCCTTGAAACGCGAAATCGATAAAATAATCTTTTAACCCTTTGCTGCTCAGTGTTCTACTACATGGAACACTCAAATTGAATCGCTTCTGAAACCTTTAAATTCAACCGTAAATAGATAAAAATGCCTTTATAATATACTTTGAACTTTTCTTTTTAAACAGTAAATAGCAGCATATCACAAGGAGAATTTTCATTTATTATGTGTTATTAAAATCACTTTTTTTCAAGTAATTTTCTCTATTTTTTAATGATATAAACATTTTTATTTGGAAAAAAAAATTAGGCATAATTTTGTTGGCTGTACTCCAAATAATTTGTTCTACATTTTTTAAATCTTTCGTACAAAAACCATACGCAGAATCATTGAATGAAACCGGGTGTTAAATTAGCGAGAACACTGCGGCTTTAGCGATCTCATGCTGTTACGAATCAGAACATCTGTGCTTAGGAGAGGACATCCGTTGTTTACGTTTTCTGTTTCCGTTGTTTTTTTTTGGGGGGGGGGGATGAATTCAAACAAAGCAGTATTGAGGGGTGAGGTGTGTTTTGTGTTATGAAAGCCTTAATATTGGCATCTCGGGATCATTTTGGGAGTAGTTTTTAGGCGGGAATTTTATTAGCTTGACTCATCTTTACTTAGACCTGCGCGAATTTTTTGCTGTCGCATTTTAGTCTCATTCCCGCTTATTTTCAATAACTGTGTAGATATTTTTCGTGTATGTATATATTATAGGCTTATTTTTCTTTATTGTTAATATTAATCGTAGTTAATTTTTTTATTATTAATTTTCCATAAATTGCGCGGAGAGGTCTAACTCTTTTCGAAGCACTCTTTTCGAAAATTTGTAAATATTTTTGTATATAGGACTTGTGTATATAGATATTTATCTCATTTATCCGTATATATTCAAGAATATTGTGTATATCCAGGAAACCATGTATACTATGGCTGTACAGAGTTTTTTCATTCTTATACAAACGCTTCTACTCATTTTCGTAATTTCTACTTATTACATTTTCTCCAAATTAAGTAATTATCACTGCAATGCTCGATTAGTCGCACTTTTAAAAGCTCTGGCGACGCAGTGTTCCACCTCGTGGAACTCCCACAGAATTAAAACGGTAAGTGCAATTTTTACAAAATTTTACCTGTAATTATTTTAACGAAGAGGGGTTTCTTAATTCCAAAAAATTCTTTACGTACGGCAGTAACCTTTGCAGGTTAACGTACGGTTCTTAACGTAACGGCAGTAACCTTGGTAGGTTAACGTACGGTTCTTTAGGACTAAATAGACTGCATACAACTTTTTTTGTTGAAATTCCGACGTTAACGTATAGTGCGCCGCAAAGGGTTAAGAGTTCATCCACTTAGTTTGAATAGTCGGGCGAGTTAGAAAACAAAGGCAGATTGTCCCTGGCAGTTAATGAGTCGAATTTCTGATTTTGACCGCAATCGTACTACTATCCGAAAGGAAAAATAGCAGAAGAAAGAAGTTAAAATACTAAAGTCAGCATGTAAAAAGGAATAACTCCAAACTTGAACTACATAAAGCGTTGCTTACATAGGGAGGCAAATCTTGAAGAAAGTTCAGTATCCTCTCGTCCAGAGTCAAAACATGACCTTCGATATGCCAAACCAATAAGCTAACTATTGCACTACAAAATCACTTGAGAGAAATACCTTAATTTCTTTCACACCATCTCAGCAGAAATAGCCTAATGTTAAAAAAAGTAGCATGCTAGTGGTTCCTGAAGATATGAATATTCATTTCGAAGGAATTCGGAATTCCTGAAAGATTGTCAAAGATTTTGAATACTTACTGTAAAACCAAGAAACAGATCCCTTGAGAATGCTATAAAATTTCCTTAAAATGTAATCTAAATCAAGAAAATGACTTTATCATTAAGTCTATTATTTAGAATGTATTAATAGAAATATTAAACGAAAATGAGTTATTGTTTTTTCATGTTTCCGTATGTTCACTATTCCTTGAAATCAATGCCACAGGAATAAAGCCTTGAAGAATGACATTTTTAGCTGGATCAACTAATTGTCCACAAATGCTATAAGAAACGAACAAAAGAACACTTGCTGTCACAGAGCTAAACAGAAGGGTCCACTTATCGAAAATCGTTTTATTTTGGCTACGGCCACTTTATCTAATACAACGAAAAGTTCTGCCAGGGTCTGATTTTTTTTCTACCTTGAAATCTCTTACCTCCTCAGCTTTAGGTTAAGTTCCCACTGAACCTTTCGTAGAACTCGCTTATACTTATTTTCTGACAGACACCGAGATTCAAATTGCAACTCCAAATTAAGTAATTATTTTAACGAAGAGGGGTTTCTTAATTCCAAAAATTCTTTACGTCCCACTGAACCTTTTCCGTAAACTCGCTATACTATTTTCTGCGACATAACCGCGATTCACATTGCAACTCCACATTAGTAATTAAGTTTAACGAAGAGGGGTTCTTATTCCAAAATTCTTAACGTAACGGCAGTAACCTTTGCAGGTTAACGTACGGTTCTTAACGTACGGCAGTAACTCGAAGCTGAAGTTAATTCTGCAACTTCAGCTTCGAGTTTCCTTCTATAACTTTCACAATTTGCATTCCTTAAAATAAAAGCTTTTAAATTCTTCCCCACGTATTTCATATTTTCCATGCAATTCAGATCCTAGCAAGGCACGGTTCCTAACTTCTTGAAAAGCTCTTAAACGTGTGGCCTTTAATACATAGTTATAGGATTTAGGATTTAGGAACGGGGAAGACGGGCACCACATCTTTACCATTTGGTTAATTGGTTTAGCGCCGCCTCCCCACTACGTGATCCCAGCCGTTTATTGATATTAGCAAACAGATACATAATTTGAAATGAATACAAAATTTAGAATGATACATTATTGAAATGAATACATAATGTGGAATGATACATTATTGAAATGAATACATAATGTGGAATGATACGTAGTATGGAATGTAAAAAAAAAAAAAAAAAAAATTGAAGCATAATTATAAATGTACAGAATTTTGAATGTAATACAAAAATTTTAAACATAATATATAACATAACTCTTTAAAATATGTGCGGAATTTTGAACATAATATGCGACGAAAAGAAATAGTAGTGATGAAGAGCAGTTTGGAGTTCCAACTAAAGTCTATATTCAGAATTCACAGTTCAAAGTCTATAGTCCATATTCTATAGATATAGTACAAAATCTATAGATCAAATTCTGCAAGTTAAATATAATACATAGTAATAGTTAAATATAATACATAGTAATAAAGAGAACTTATAATTTTCACCTCTGATTTCTCCTAACACATTCTTCTCGATGCCATCGAACCAACTGAGCTTTTTACTCTAAGTGCGGCCTTTGCTCTGACTGTTGTTTGCCAGAGGAGGTAGCAGCAGAAGATCCCAGATGAAGAAGTAGACGATATTTTTCAAATCTTTCAAGATTCGCGAAATGAACGATATCGCAGAAAGAATTAAGCATTTGAAAACTATCACGGAAAAATTAGTTATAGCCTTCGAAGCAGTGAAGATAACTCTTGAATTTTCAGAAAACGAAAATTAAGCCTTGATACATTTTTAAACCGAAGTTCTTTATGCTCTCACTAGATGGCGACTCACTTAACCTGCTAAACTCCTGAAATCTTATATCGAATCCGTCTTTTGTCTCGCATTTTTCACTTCTTCAATTTTCGACCTTACTCACTTTCCTTCAACTTCCTCACATGTTATGCCTACCACCTCTGCTAACTCTTTACTGCCAATCTCTGCTAGCAACTTCAAAACTCTTTTCTGTCATTCCCATGCTATATTCAATGTTCGAAAAGTAGATTTAACTGCTATATTGGGATAGTGGTCTGACCCAGGAGCCCGATTTCATTGAACTTCGTTCGGAGGTAGCAGAAAGTGGCTTTCTAGTCATTCTTAAACCAAAATTGAATTTCTTCTAACGAAGCTGATGGTTGGCTTAATGGACGCTCGCATGGTATCCACTTATGTAACCAAACCCTTCCATAGAAATTGCCGATGTTGCACCAACTTGAAGTCTTGTGGAGGGGATTAAGAATTCCACCATCTCTTGACATCACTTACTTCTGGGCGCCAAATGTACGTCTCTCTGTAATTTAACAAATGTTCTTAAACCCTAATAAGACCAAAAAACTTAGTCATGTGAGTTATCGCTCTGCTTATGAAATAAAAACTGAGTTTCGAGAAGCTTTAAGCAAGCATTTTTATTAAAAACTTCA